TACAGCAGGCTCACACCAAGTTCTTGAGATGCCCCTTGCACTGGCTGGAGATGTAAAAGTTAACTATGCTACCGATGTCACGGAGTTGATTGTTTAAATTTATTACAGGACAATGAGGTTTTCCAAGTGGAACATTTCCACTGCATTGCACGTCCAGGAGCATGACAGGACTCTGCGCTGCTCTGTGATGACTTGTTAAGAATTCTGCAAGTGTGACAGATAGAGGCACCTCGTATTTGAAGATTCCTCTCTCAAGCAAACCTCCTTTTATCTTTGTCCCTCAGGATTTATTCCCTCTGTTACACTCTGACTGCTCCATCTCCACAGAGCTCCCCAGCGTGGAATGTGGCGTTACCTGTTTTTTATGATCTTGGCATGAACTCAGAAGAGTAAGAAAGCTATAAGAGCAGCCATGCAAGAATGAGAGACAGAACAAGGTGCAAGTTTCCTACCTGTTTCAGGACTCCATTTAATCTGCCTTCTCTTCCAATGTTTGGTTTCTCCCAAAAGAGATTTCTTCTCCTTTCCTTCTCTTCCAGATAGCAATTGGTTTAACTTCCTTCTAAATCACCTGCTCTCTCCTTTCTCTGACTCTACAGGACATCAAGAGCAGTTACCAGCAATCCCTGGCTTGAGATTCCCAAGGGAAATCTCACAAACTACTTCCAAAGGGCCTGTGAAAAGTAAATGGAAATACAAGTCTACCATCTGCAGGCTTAAATCTACTACTGTGGGGTCCACATTGCCACCAGACATTTTTTTGCAGGGAATTTACAGATCCAGAACAAAAATTTGGAAACTACTGACACACAAATACGTGCTTCTCTAGGCAAAAGCTTTGGCGTTACCTCCTCTGCCCTACAGAGTTACAGGGACCAGACTGATTAGGGGTCACAGGCATTTCCCAAAATCGCTCTTTGGCTTTTGGGAGTTACCTGGACACGTGTGTGCACATAGGCAGGGGCTGAGCAGGAGAGACAGAAACTGCAGTTTGCTTTGGGGGTAAAGGCCACGAAAGTTACAGCTTTTCAATGGATGTAAAAATCTTTCATTGCTAACTGCCCGTTTCCTGTGGACCAAAATACTCGCACAAATAGCTAAAGTGTTAATAAATTAAGAGGGACCCACCAGTGCATTCATAAAACTGGCTGGAGCTGAGCATGGCAAAGACAGACATACTTCTGTGCAAACTTGCTGAAGAATTTCTATCACAAATTGAAAGGCCTCCTACTAACCATAGTCCGGAGACGTTCCTGATCAGAGAATACCAATTATTTCAATCGGCAGACATAAATAAACCCACCAAACTCCCACTTGCTTGCTTGCCACCAGAGGTCCTGATCCAGGTATCTTCACATGTACATTGTACTCACTTGAACAGTCTCATTTCTTTACATTAATAAACAAATACCTCAAGTCTATTTGCAGGAGGTCAAGTGCCATTTTCCTTACAGATAATTTGCACAAGGGAAAAATAAAAGTGCCAGCATAGGACATAGCTCCTACGGAGATCTTAATTAAAAAAAAACCCACAAACCAAACCCAAACCCCAAACAACAACCACAAACCTAAAAATTAAAAAAGAAAAGATTGTTAAGACCTACTGTACCTTTTAGGGGTTTTGGCCTATCTCTTTCCTGCAGACAACTCAGGATTTTCCTTCTCCAGAGCCAGCCTAGACAGCTCTGGAATTCTTTGCTTCGGTTACATCCCGTAATAATTTAAGATGTTAGTTACCCCACGTATGAGATAGTCACCCCTGCTCCACCCTTCTTTACCTGTTTCTAGTTCCCTGTATTTCAGGTTACACTTTAGACCAATACTATGCTATTAATAAACAGTGTTCCCTCGCCCCTGAAGGATGTCTGAATGGGAATAAGTTTATCTTCATTATGACCATTCAAATATTGCCAATATCATATTTTTCCAGCCTAAAATTCAGTCATTGAGGAATTCACATTTTCTACTGTACGTCATTGCTTTCTATCCACAGCAAGGGATGCCTAGGTTGGAAAGCTCACCTTTCAGGAGTGAGAAAGCCTCCTTTATCTCATCTCATCTCATTTCATAATTTCTCTCTTTCCCAGCAAAACCAAACCCATCACCCATAATCTTGCTTCAAACACATTACCTATTTTGCTATAGGCTGTTCTCCATGATTTAAACAACCTCAAGGTAATAAAGTTATTTAAAGCAAGCTTCTTCTTCTCTTTCCACACAATTCCCTTCATCGTTAATTCACATTCAGCATATATGCATTGTGCAGCGAGGAACAGCACAAAGATCCCTAAGCCAACACAGACTGGAGCTGGGTCAGTCCCCCAAAAGCAATGTAACTGCATGACAAGCTAACAGTTTGGCAACATGATCTGTAGTCTTTGCTGAGCATCCTTCCACATGGACTGTAGGCTGGACATTAGAAGAAGGTTGAGACACACAGCTGAGTTACCACATTATAAGCTGTGACTAACAGTTGGGCTGTGGTGACCAACATTTGCACTAAACTTGTTCCTTGCAAATACAAGGTAAAATCTAGCTTAAATATCTTTCTCTGCAGTTTACGCTAACATCACTTTGCATTTGCAGAGGGCTAAAAGCACATGGCGAGTTGCTGTGGGTATGCTGATACACGCACCTGACCCTTTAGTAGCATTTTTCATATTATGAAAATACATTTAAACCTACCTCAAGACCTTAAACAACTTCACACGTGCTTTTCTCCATGCACACATCCCTCCTATGGGCTTATTTCTGGCTTTTTAATCCACCTGGCTTCATGCTACTGTTAAGCCTTGAACTACCTCCTACACTTCACATCTCACTCATATTGCCTTTTCTTCTGCCTCTCTATTCCTTTTATCCTGGCTGTCACCCTCAGTGCTTGCACTAGTCCTTCAGTAACTCATGGTGGGTACCTGTCGGTATGCTAATTTCCATGTAACATTAAGAGAATGCTAAATACTAATTAATATTTCCATAATATCCACAGGGAGTGACTCCCTCTCGCCTTCTGCTCTTAGCAAAGACACAAACCCTTTGCTGACTTGTAGTTTCTTCCTATCTGGGCAGTTGTTGAAAAATCCCATCCTGGGGCCAGAATTCCCTCTTCCTTCTTCTTTGCTAATGGCTCCAACTCCTGACCTACACTTTACAGCAAGCCACCTGTAATCAAACACTAATATTATGCCTTCCTTCTCCTTTTTATCCCATAGTTTTGCTTTGCCTTCTATTTTTTCTGCAGAATTGTTTGTATTGCTTAGTGACAAAGGGAAAAAAAATTAAAACCAGTAGTTCGTTTTCATGAGACGCCAGACATTCACCTACAGCCCCAATAGGAACTAAAGGCGATTCCGTGATTTCTTGCAGACAACAGAAAGGACCAACGAGAAACAGAGCAGAGGCCCCTGCTCAGGTTCTCACCAATACTTCATGGCACACTGGCTACATCAAGGACAACGTGGTTCAAGCTCATTTAAGACCTTCATGATATTCACTTGGAACAAGACAAGAATCCAAAGCCCCTTGGAAAGAATACGAGCTGGGCGTTTCAGCATCCTATGCAAGCCCCTCCTCTGCTTAGCAGGAAGAGGATTATTGCTGTTCCAAGCATCCTTCCTTAGACTGTTGCAGGTTCTGGTAAAGACGATAACTATTTGGTTAGATACCGGCATGTTTGAGTCAAGCGTTGCTTTTATCAGATTTCATTTTCATCCTTCATTGTCAAGGCAAAGGTATGACTACTGAAAAAAGAATGGCCATGAAGCAGAGGTGCCTTTTGAATTTACATACAGAATTAGCAAAATTTTTTGAACTTCTGGCATGCTCTATGCCAGGCATTGACATGACAGAGCTCCCAGCACAGTCTGCGTATTTACCTGAGGGTGGAAAACTACAGGGTGGGAAGAAAGTGGAGTTTCCTTAAACTCCTACCTTCAGTCTATCTTTTAGCAAGTTTGTATTTGAAGAAACCTGCATCTCCCAGAATCTAATTTACACACAGAGCAACCTCATATCCCCACACCCTCAAGATAACTAAACGGCTAAATTGAAATACTGAATACTATAAGGCCTTGTTCCTTCAATTATTTTTTCCTCCAAGATTACCCTCCAAAGCTTAATGATTAACTACTTAAACATACTCTTTCAGAAAAGCAATTTCTTAGCTGCTAAGAAGTCAGAGTGAGATCCAGAACCATGGCAAAACACATCTGGTGTTTGTTTCAAAGAAGGAGAGTTGCACAGGCATTTTTGCAGAACAAAACAAAAGCTGTTTTGCTGAAGAAGGAAAGTTGCTGTGCTGGTCTAACACTTTTCTTAACACATGTCAGAATAGGTTTCCGTGTATGTACATCACCTTTCCTACAGCTTGGATGGGTTACCATTTTGAAGCTTGTAGGGCCTGGAAATCTGAATAAATCACCCAAGTACATCTGACTGTACAACAGTTTGGAAATAGTGAGGAAATCTTGACCAAACCCAATTTTAAGATTACCTTCAGGTTTTAAGCTCTTGAGCAGGAACCTTCTTTGTTCTCTGTTTGCACAGTGCCTAGTTCAGCAGCGTCCTGTTGTGACTAGGGGTCCTAAGTTCTACAGCAATACAAATAATAAATAAAAAATAATAATACATATTATATGATCAATAATACCTACTTTATACCCTGTTTTTTCAAAGACACACTGCACCCCAGCAAATACTTGAAAAATATGGTAACAAAGTTACCAAAAGTTGCAAGACCAATGCAATTTGTTTGATGCCAATATCTAACCTTAAGGTTCAAGTGTCTGGGAAACTCATGAATGGTATTGTTTCACCAGCACTGAAAGGAACATGGACCAGAGACATGTAACCAGTTCATGCACAGTCTTGGGAATCCAGCAGAACCTGGGAGGAAACATTTGTGTAGAAGCCGAGGCAGTGAATCCATGAACAGCTTCTCATCTCCACCATCTATTTTCATGCTAAAAGGGACTACATATGGAAAGAGAATTCCAGTGGGGTTTTTTGTGTTGGCCTTTTCATTTGGAAAAACAAATAAAAGGAAACAGATAGGGTAGACAAACCGTAATGAAATATTTCATATATCCCCTATGGCTATCTCATTTTTCCCAAATGACTGCTGCATGAAATTCAGAAATTAAAGACTGGGATTTGAGAACAAAATTATAAATTAAAAAGAAGACATTTAAAAGAGAATTTTCTAAGCGTTTCATTCTTTCCCCACTCTGCAGCAAGGAGAGCAAAAATACAGTCCAAAAGAGGAGAGAAGAAGTCAGAGGGGATTAGAAAGTCCAGTCTTTCAGCCTGTTTCCCATTTTGCTAATTTTTACAGTAGGTTATTTAAGAAGCAGTAGATGTTCTGATAGAAAGCAGGCAGTAGCAAACACAGGCATCATCTGCTCCTTCCAGCGAGGTCTGTGCAATCTCAGTCTCTTGCTCCAGGAAGGAGAGGTTTTCCTTCCCACACTTGTTACTGCCTTCCAATGTGGGAGAGGGGAGAAGCAGCTGCCAGAGACTGGGGTCTGGCACTTCAGAGGCTCTCCTCCCTCCACTGGGCTAAAAGGAACTCAAGTATTCCAGTGCAACCTCGTATACAAATTTATACTGTTCCTGAAAGAGAGAACAGAAATTCATGCCATTAGGATACAGGTAAATTCTTCAGAGCCTCATTCTACAAGCTGCCAAAAATGCCTCCTCCCTCTTTCTTATACCCTTTGGCAGGACCAGGCAAACATTAATTGCATTTCTATGTGATCCTCAACAAGCATTACTGAGAGATGGTATCGTCAATGAAAGAGAAAAACACTCAAAGAGACAGCCACAGTATGGACTATTCATACTTTGCTTCATGCCCTCATTGTGTACATTGCTTTTCAGGAAAGAATTCAGTGCGATCGATTGAGAGGATTGAATTCAGGACAGGTTAATCTCTTTGGTTGCAGGGAGCAAGGCCTGGGGTTCGGACTGTTCTCCCTTCCTGGTTTCAAGGCATGTCACAGCATTACGCACCAGGCTGTACACATGCACAGGAGGACAAATCCCACTCCCTCCTGATGGCCATGGTGACAGCTACTTGGGGTTTAACCTCCTGAGGCAGCTAGGTGTGGGAGACACTGTTCATCATGCTACTGGGGCAGCTGCTCCCTGTTTGCTCAAGGAGAGAAGCAGTGGGACCAGAGGACTCAGTGCATGTGCTAAAATGGGACTGGTTTTAATTCTGATGGCTTTACAGTATGATTGCTTTTATTCATACTGAGCTAAGCCATGGAATTTTTCTACCCATCCTAAAATTCCCCCTGCATATGCCAGGTAGGGTAAGGAGCAGGAAAAAAAGCTTACCAGCGACTCCACCATGTTGGATTTGTTATTCCGTAACGTTTTCACTATGTGGAACACATCAATGATATTTTGCTGTTGAATCATTTCACACACGCTGCAGATGGCACAGAAGGTGCCGCTGCGTCCCCCACCATTCCTGGGCCCAGAAGAAAAGAGGCAACACGTGAAGCTAGGCAAGGCTGAGGGAACGGAGGAAAGCACTGCGTACACAACAGCTCACACGCCACATACAGAAAGGTCTGTCAAGTAAGGACTGATTAAGGACTTCCAAGGGTTTGTGGAAGTGGAGACCTGCACGGCAGGAGATGGGGACAGAAGGGCTAAGCCAGTCCCTGGCAGTGGCAGACAGGGAAGCCCCAGGGACTGCAGTGCTCCTCCTCACTGCTCCGGGGCTCACGGCAGCTCCGTGGTCGGAGCTGGGCACGTGGCAGTGCTGCTTCGGTTGTGTCTGGGCTCCAGTCATGAGACCTACCTACACAACAGAAAGCAGCAGAGCTTTTTCAGCTGCTCCTCATTGCAATCAGTAAAATCTCTGGGCCAGGATGCTATAACGTAGCACAATATTCAACTCAAAGTGTATTACAAATGTAATTTAACTTCATTTTCCCCAGCTAAAGCCTGGCAAACCACCAAATTTCCAGATCCATAATCAGTGCTCTTCAGACAGCGTTTCGTGAGGTTACAGACATTTTCCAGTCCTACTTACAGGCAGTGGACAACAGTGCGTCCGTCTCTCCCATCATACTGTTCCTGCCACTTCTCCAACCTTCTGACCACCTTCAGGAGGGAGCGTTTGGAAGGAGGGGTGTCCCTGTATGCTGGCCAGCCAATGTACTGCAGGTGCTGCACTATGTGATACCCATCCTGGGGCTAAAACAAAGAGCATTTTCAAGATGCTAAATGGAATGGGGCAGGAAGCAGAGAGATAGGGTAAAGCAGGGGACACGAGTTACACAGCATCCTCCCCTCTGAATCTGATACCATCAATGTTAAGATCCTCCACTCTGGATACCTGATACAGTGGGGAAACAAGGACTTTTCAGTAATCTGGGTAACAATGATGACCTCAGATGTTACAGAGCCAGGCAGAATCTAGGTGCTGAGGATCCCTTGTTTTGTTTTCAGTAGAGAATGAAGTCTCATCAAACTGTATGAATAGATGAAATACATCTTTCCTGGTAGCCTTTGCTGGAGGTTAGTTGTGCCATAAGAACTAAAGGTAAAGACGGCCCTCAAAAAATCTCTGGGGACTGTGGCAGGAAAGGCTCGTCATAAAGATTTTAGCAGCAGCCATTGGTGTTGAACATAGATGGGTGCAGAGAGCTGTGAGTTCACAGCCTGCAACCTGCCAGCCATGCATTTATGAGCCAGCTTCAGCCTGAGAGTCATGGAGCCTTACCCTTATTAGATATATGACTTCCAGGCTGTCCCTGGTTGAGAGGCAGTTGGCCTGGGATATAGGAGGTGAATATCTAACTGATTTATCAATTCCTGTAATTGGACCACAAGGTTCACTCTGCAATGCCACGACTCAATTGCTGCACAGGCTCTGACCACTCAATAAGAGACTGATGTGTTAAACAGCACGGAAATGTAATTTGTGGAGCCTGTTTCCATTTCTGATTAGAAAAAATGAAAAAGGAACAAAAAAGGAGACATAATCAGCCTGGGAAACAACTAATGAGAGAAAAATCCTCTACTGAAACCCTTTCCTGCAGCCCTGAAGTTGCATTGCCAGGGTCTGGCATGCAGATAAACTTTGTTTCTATAATTTCAGCTGTCCTGGGGCTGAGGGATACAGACAAAGAGTTGCTTACAGAAATGGCAGTTGCTTATTTATAGGAAAAACAGCGGCAATTAGGAATCCCAGTCTAGCCAGTAAACGTTGCATCTGTCTTCAGAGACACTGCATAGTAGTTGACAGATGGAGAGCCGCTGACACTATCCCAGTTTATTTCCTATGATATTGATGGTTTTATGTTGGCTACTAAGTGATTAATTGTTTTCAAATATACATAGAAAAAATGCATTCCATTTAAATACAGATTTTCAGCTCATATCACCCACTTTCTAATTTCAGCCAAGAGTCTTACCAATACAGACTGATGCAATTATGTCAATTAAAGGAAGTAGCTACTAAATTTTGCAGTGGAATTTTGTTCCTAGATGAGGGATTCAGCATCTCTAAACCACAAGTCTTGGTTCTGCCTCTTCCTCATGGCAAAATACATTTTTGGGAATAAATAAGGAAACCGTTATTTCACTGATCTTACCCTGGCCATGTTGCAGATCCGGAATATCCGGTTGATGGTATCTTCATCAATGTCTGCTGAAACAAACTCGACTTGAATTGGGCCATAACAACAGGACGTCTTCTCTGGCCAGTACTGCATGCAGAGCTGGAGAAAACATCAAAAGAAACAGAACGCATCTTAACTATTAACAAGGAAACGCACGTTCAGTCTTCTTTCCTTTCGAATTTATAACCAGCTCAAAATCCACAACCAATCTTGTATTACATGTATTTGCTCAGAGAAGACCTCCTTCTAGCTCAGTAAACATTTTTTATATCATGAATATGAAGAAAAAAACAAACGTATTTTAGAAGCTTGACATTTCCCCCCCCCCCTTTTTTTTTATGAACACAATTTGTAACTGATTGAATTCTGGGGTCTAAAGGTGCAGAAAAGGTGGCTGACAAATAAAGCTTCTGTAGGGGTATAGATTTAAAGTGAACATTAAAAGATTAGTGTCTGTAGGTTAATTTAATAGGAACCACAGAGGTTTGGTGTTAATGAGGAAACAGTACATGTACCAAGAAAATTAATCTTAATTCAAGCAAAGTGGAACTTCTTTTTTCTGTAAGATAAACTTTTTAGCTTTCTGACTCTACCAGCGAGCAGAGGAGGGAGAATGAGTTAGCTCTGAGAGCAGTGAGAGCAGCTCCAATTTCAGAGTGAACCACAACTGAATCTCTGAAGTTCGTGAAACAGGTTGGAAGTCTTTTTTCTTATGCTGATATTACTGAATTTAAAGTACAAAAAAAAAATCCTATCCACACTAATTACTATCTATTTCAAATCCATCTGGAAATAGATCATAGCGAGAAAATATTTTGCATGAGATCTCATTAGCAGTTTCTGCTGAGATTGTATTTGTTTCTGTTTTTTTCTTCCTATTTTCAAGTGTAATTTTTTAGAAGTTTTGAAACCCCCAGATACTCATTTGAACTTGATCTCAAGCTTTTCAAGTTCAGTCATTGTCAGTAATAATGTCAAGTGCGTGCATGCTACTGCATTAATTCTGTATTCCTGTTATTCCTTTGATCATATGGGATTGAAATTGGGTGGGATATTCATGCAATCTTATGCATCTTTGCTCTTGTTAGTTTTTCAAGATTAAGCAAGCCAGCCAAGACCACATAAGCAAGTCCTCCTTTGAAGGTTGTCTTTACTCTTCATTCAGACTTTCAAGCAGCCTTACAGATCTCTTCTCAAAGCATTTGTCGAATAGGCAAGAAGATTTGAGCTGAGCAGGTGCTTTAGAAAACAACCTCAAGGTGCATTGGAAAGAAGAAAAAGATGAAACCTTTCCTTAATATTTTTTCATAAAGCAGCTCTGTGAATGGTCATCTACCCAAACGTATATGTATATACAGTGCTTAAAACAGTCTGCTATGTCCCCTGACCTCCACAAGGTTTTATTTGCACTTTTTCCCTGCATAGTGGATTAAAGGTTCACTTATTTATTTTAACTCTTTTTCTCTCTACAGTTCGGGCACAGCTTTTATACAAGCAATTTTTGTATTTGTGTTCTACTCATGGAGACGAGTAACACACCCTGCTCAGGCACACAAATACGGTACCTGCAGGCTAACCATTCCGTAGTGCTCAGGGGACAGTGCCAGGCACACAAATACGGTACCTGCAGGCTAACCATTCCGTAGTGCTCAGGGGACAGTGCTTGGATGAGGCAACGATGAACAACGAGGTAAGTACAACATCGTCATACAATGACGGTGCAAGCACAACACTGTTAAATTTCCTTTTCAGAAACCTCACTTTCACAACTGGTATCAAACTGTCACACTTTGCCTTGAAAGCTTGTAAAATACAAACTTTAAAATCATCCTTAACTTCCAGTGCTAGCTGGGTGTTTTTGGCATTGGCTGCAGACTTGAGCTAGGTGACACCATACTAGAATAACTGACAAAATGACTTTAGATATTGCCAAATCTCCTTTTCTGTGCCTACAGACTACCTCATAAAAACAGAACTTTGCTAGGAAAAAAACAAAGCAGGTAAAGTCTTGTGCAGAAAGATAGTCGCAAGAATAACACTGGCTGAGGCTGATAGGTTTGTGCTTTCCAAGAATGAAGCGTGAGAAAGCGTGTAATTTCCAGAAAAAAGCTGTTTTTCTTTCAAGTGTCAGAAAAAAAGGCAAAGATAAAATCCATCCCTGGATTCGATGCCAAGATGCAGAATCAGGCTGGATGCATGGGACAGGAGGCAGCAAATGCACAGGAGCTCCAGTTCCTCACAGAGTGGTGGGACTCTGTGGGACACTGAGAGAGCCCGCTTTGGAGGAGAGCTCTTACTGTGGCTGGAAATGAAATCCCATAGCGTTCACCCTGAAGGGAGATCCCCTCAGCAAACAGGGTGATTGGTTTCTCCATTACCATTGTAAAAAGAGACCAATAATCTCACTGCCTTCAAGTATGGTAAGATTTTGAAGACAGTGAAGAGAGAAATGAAAAATTAATCCATGAAGTACCAACTACTTGAGGGTTCCTCTCTTCATGTTTAAGTGCCATAATGGGTGAATTAGCCATGCCAGATGTACTCTTCACACAAATTGCATGATTATGCCTTTTTGAAAGCTGTTATCTTCTGCCACTCATCAGCAAGGTGGCTGGAAATGCTAGTACAGGAGGAACTGTGGCGGCTCCTCCCCTGGCAAGCTTAACTCCTGAAAATAACGGTGTGTTTAGTAGCCAAGAAACCAACTTGCACATGACACTAGAAAGAAAAAAAAAAATACACAACACAATGTGCTTCTCCAGAAACTGTGCAAACCACATGTCTCAGTACTACAGAATTTAATTGGAAATCTCAGGAAAAAGATCCTTCGAATGATTTCGTGATCTCACTTGGTTATATTCTTCTGGAAATGCCATGCAAATAGGCAAGCGTGAAGCACACTAGGGCTGTGGTAGGGAACATTTTTCTGAACTAAAGACAAAAATAAGAAAGGGAAGAAAGCAGATTTGAAAGGAAGATACAGGTCCACAAATACAACGTATTTATATATCTAAACCCTGTTAATTGCAGGAAAAATTAGCTGCCTTAGAAGGAGCCAAGCATGTGGACTTATTCTTCATTATACCCCAAAACATTACCTATTACTTTCCAGTTCCCCTTCATTTATTTATTGGGGTGGGGAGGGGAGACACAAGAAAATGGCAGCAGAAATGCTCTTAAAACCATCCGGATTTGAGAAGAAAGTTACACGACAGAAACGATGAAAAATGACTTACCTGTGCTGCATCCATCTCATTCAGCATCACAACAGAGGAGCAGTTATAATCAAACACCAGCCTCCAGAAGTCTGCTATGGTGTTGGGCAAAGGGTGTTGGGTTACAATAAAGGCAGCAGGTTGCTTGTGGCTCTAACAAAAGAATAAGATTAGTTAAAAAAAAATTCAATCAACTTTTATTCAAACTAATATTATACCCGGGAGGCTATGGCTAGGCAATCTGAGCCATTTAACCAGATTATACAAATCACATATCCTTCTCCTTGTTATCACTCTGCAATGAATGAATGTCTCATAATGGGATTCTTTTGCTCCCAATGAAGACATTTCATTAAAGTGTCACAAGAGCAGAGATTACCCAAATTAATTATTTATATTTTGAGACTCAGCAAATAATACTAATTCTACTGTTACTACTACTACTACTATCAGTAATATTAATAATTGGAAAGAAAACAGCTGGAAGCAAATGCTATCCTTTTTGCTGCAATGGACTCTAGGAACTACAGAAGGGATTAGCCCCCCCATCTGCTATTGCTCCCTGGTGATGTAGTGCTACAGAGGCGGCACATTTGGATCCCAGCCATCCTTTAAGAGCTTGGGGGGCAATATTCTAAGCCTGCAACATTGGCATTTAATTTCTGATGCTATTCTTTCACCTCAAAAAAGCCCTCTGACCTCAATCTCCCTAACCACGAAGGGGAGGAACTGTGCTCCTAACCTCTGCAGGGCGGTGTTAATGAATGTTTGCAAGGCACTTTGAGATGAAAGGGTACAAGCTCAAAACTTTATCGCTTTCCAACCATGGCAGGCAATGCTTAGATGAACCTCCAAACTGCACAGTCCTTTGTGCTGTACATCTGTGAAGCAGACATAAATCAAAAGGCACAATATTTCTGGGTTAAAAAAAAAAACAACAAAAAACCAAACATATTAAGATTTTGGATTTAAAGTCAAGAAATAAATAAAATCCCAAAGTATTAAGATGGCAGTTGTGGGGGCTTGCCTTGTCTCCTCCACGAGTCAGATATGAGTGGAAGTGCTGAGCAGACCGTGCTGGGAGGTAAAGAAGGCACTCTGCACGCTCTGCACCAGCCTGCAGGGCAGCTGTGCCATGCTTCTGCGTGTGCACGTGTGAGGAGGGCGATGGGACATAAAGTAGGGAGAAGGAAAAAGAAATGATTTGTTGGGAAACGATCAGTCTGGAATGGATTTTCGTCTTTCTCCCTACTCTGTGTTTCAAACCTAGGAGCACCGGTATGGGTCAAAAGCTATGTCATACAAGACCAACGGAGGCAACAGAGTGGTGAATAAAATAATGGATCTTATCTCTTAGAGTTAAGACCATCATAATGTTTTTGCTACGTTTTTTCATTGTGCACCAACATAGTGGATTGCACAATTGGCTAAACTGTTGGCTGAAGGTAAGATGTGTTTGTGGGTTTTGCCATTCGGAGAATAAAGAAACATGCCCCACCTGTTTTCTTTGCTACAGGTGAGGAACCAGGCTCACTGTCCAATTTTAAAGGGAAGGTGACACAGAGATGTTAATTACTCAGGTAAGAGAACATGTATAGGATCTTGGGGGAATAATGATAACAGGGACACAACGTGGACTCATGTCTTTCTCCAAGCCCCATGCATTAAACACAAACCTATCACCACTTCTGTATGGCTTGATTCAGATGTGGGTAAAGTCTCTTTGCTTAAGGATTATGTTCAATTGCTTTAGGGGAAGGCGAGGGACAGTATTTCACCTTTCTTAACAAACCATTTTGCAGATGTAAACATGGCTTTCCAATGATTCTCACAGGAAAGATCCTAAGGTCTGTTTACTTGAAAGGGACAGAAGACATGAAGAGGAAAGGTCAGGAGTCTTGAAATCTGCTGGGGGAAAATTCCTCTCCTCTGTGGGCAACAGTAGCCCTTTGGCTGTATTCCCAAAAGCTAACTAAAGGCAGAGGAGGCTGGTTTTTTAGAGCTTTACAGTCAACAGACTGAGACAGTCTCCAGCAGAGTTTAAACCAGGAGCCCAGACTGAGTGCTTCACCCCGAGGGAGGGTTCAAATGGCATTCTGTGTCTAAGGTTAATTTTGGTGAACGCAGTCCAGAGCAGCCCATCAGATTGTCTTCCTGGGACAATTCACACTCCCAAACCCAGGCTGTAACCCATTCTAGATGCACCATCACCCTGTCCTGCTCTAGCACTTCTTCCATCATAGGTTTCATGTAATACACAGAGCAAGCTACAAGTCAAATAAGATGTGGGGAGAAGTTTAAAAAAGGAGATAAACATGAGAAATCTGTAAATAAGATGATCGGCACTGGGACTGTGTTGTCAAGGGTTCCCCAGCATGTGCCTGTCTTCACACAATGACAAAACTAATTATAGTTCAAGGCAATATGGGATGGAGGATCTCTTGTAAGAGTCCATGCTCGGTACAAGACTGCAGACATGAAGCTACTGGAAAAGACAAAGAATTTGCAGTGTCTGTCCTTTATGAAAACATGGGATTTTGGCTGTTCCCCTCTCTGTTTTTTTCAAAAGCTGCTGATTCCTCTATGGAATTATAAAGGAGAGCTAGAGAACATCATAGTGGCTGAACTTCCACGACGGGTGAAAAATTCCTTTCCTACAAAAAATTTTAATTAGCAGGAATTTTGTGGGGAAGGATACAAGTATTAGCAAAGTGCTTGGAGGTAATGAGGGCTGAAATGTGCAAACACATTCCCAGTCCCTAAGAAACCAGAGAAGAATTGATTGTGCTTCTGCAGATTTGCCAAAGGACAAAACACACTTTAAAGAAAAAAAAAGTTTCCTTAGGCATACATGCAACGAAAACATTACAATCTTTCTGAAAAAAATCTAAAATTAATTCTATGACCATTTGACTTAACCTCTTAAATGCAGTAGTATCACTGTTCCCCAAAGACTGAAAGAATAGAGAAAATTAAAAAAGACCAACCCCAACATTGCTAGGGAAAAAATGATGACATTTTACCCTGGATCATATTTACAAATACTCCAACTGCAATAATTAGCGGCTTTAAAGACATCTCTGTCCAAAGGCAGTTAGGCACCACAGGAAAAAGAAACCATCAACATAATTCACGCTATACAAATTACCTGTGCTGCGGGATTGTAGCCTATAAAGAAAGCAAGGGAAAATGCCTTCAGACAGATTCACATCAGCTTAACTCATGTCCGTCAGCCTTAAAGTATTCTGCAAATCTAGTCCCTGTACTCTCGTATTCTTAACTGTGTAAGCTCAAATAAATCACTTGCTCCACACTGCAAACTATTCTTTTCAAAGAGCTGATCTGGCAGCTCTTGGTGAACGTTTCTCTTCCAAGTTATATGACAACCAATGAATGGGAAGAGTTGTCCCACCACTTCTTTGTCCATCTGCCTAAGATAAATCCTCAAACTGCATGCTCATGAACTTCTTTGTCAAAAATTTTCCACCAATGTGAGGCAGAACTACAACAGTAGCATGATAATCATAGTCTAGGTAACACATTTCTGCATGCCTTTGCCCAGTTTGGAGATGTCAGATCCAGAAATTGCAGGTAAAAAAGGTTTTTTGCTTTGGACCCCTTTCTCCCAGGAAATTATCCTGAGAAGGAATAAACTCGATGCAGACTAGGATCAGTGGGGACAGTGCAGTGCTGCTTACATCCATGAGTGCAGCATTGATGTAGTTACTTGATTCTCCATCCACGGAGATGAGGAAAGGCAGGCACCGGTCCAAGGGCAACACATCCATGCAGCGGTTCTTGTCATGGTTCCTTGGCAAAAGACCGATGCTGCAATCTTCTGGCCGAACACGTGGTGTCACAATATTGAGAGTCTGTGAAGGAGGGACGGAAGAAGGGAAAGAAAGACAGAAGCAGGCTGAGTGTCTTTGAATTTACTTCCAAGAGGATTCCATCTGCACAATACATTTATTTTAAAGGTACTTAGACTAGCAGATCTTTGGGATCCCAGAGAATAAAAAAGGAGGACTGAGGAGCTTGTTGCTGTTATAATACATTGCATTTTTCACATCGTCCTGAGGTGCTCTTCCGAACACCGTAAGCTCCAGCATAAATTGAGGGCACTACACACCTTCCAACAATTTCCAGCTCTAAAACCCCACAGCCACTAGATACCATATCCGTTCTTTCCTAGAGGCTGGAAATAGCTGTCACAGGTACAAGCTGCAGCTTTGACCTGGTCATGGAGTGAAACCTCCTCATGTTTCTACCATCCCTAGGGTGGAAGCACGCATCCTTCTCCTTTTTCAAGTGGATCCTGTGCAGAAGTACCCTGAATATTGACCTGGCTCGCCCAGCAGGTCAGACTGGGTTCAAATCCTCTGGCGATTCCCCAGTCAAACTATTGATTTGTCTTAACAATGCATACAAAAACCCAAGAGAAAATGTTGGGTTTTTTTTTAACAGGAAAGTCTCTTTGTTTCATACATATTTAGATTGCTATTTTCCTTTTGGAGAGACACATAGGATGCTTCACTTACATAGTTATACCTTATCTCTGGGGTCTTGCTGTCAGTCTTTTACCATTACCCGGCTTTCCCACAGCTTGACAGACTGTGTTTCTTTAAATCTAATTTTCTTTTGTGTTATCCATTGTGGATAACAATGTCCAGGACAACAGCCCAGGTTGGTCAGCAAGGATCAAAAATAGCAAATCAAAGTGAATGCATCTTAACCCTGTTGCTTAAGTTGTGGTAGATCAGTGGCTACCTGATGTCATTTTACTTCCACTTGTTATGTGTCCTCTTCCTGAGCAAAGCCCATGCAGGCAAACAGTGAATTCCTTTGTAGCTGTCAGAGTAACACAAAATATTTAAGGGCCAAAAATTCTTACAAAGAGCTTGACTTCTGCCACAAAGAGGTTATGAATGGAGAAAAGAGAGGGGTCAAACAATCCAAGATAAAGCAATTTGTCAAAGTATAAAATTTGAAATAATATAGTTGCTCTAAATTATGCAGGTTCTGCATAAAAGTCCCTTTGTCTAGAGATGGAAAGCAGGTAGTCTGGCTGGGGAAGCAACATGAAATCTCAGATCTCTGACAGTGCACATAATTAGGCAGGTGACCTGTTAGTGATTTACTCCTGTCTACTTTATGCCCTTCCCCTCTCTCCCTTGTTTTTGTACTTATTCAGATTACAAAAACTCTCCAGAATGAGCTTTTGCATGTTCAGACAACATGTAGTGCATGAGAGATACATCCAGCCTTACCTGAGGGCCAGTGGGACCTAAATAATACAAATTGCACCAACAGATCTATAGTTAGGTCAACTGCTTCACAAAGATTGTAGCAAAAGATACCATCTTTTGCATTAAATCCAGACAATTAGGGCTGAAGAATGCTCTGAGCCAAAATCCTGTAAAAATAGATTCTACAACTAGACAGAGAATGAGCCTCTTACGCAAAGCACAGCGGAACATTTCCTTCCCACAGGAGTTGCCAGCCCCTGGCAGCTCAAAAGAACAAGCACAGAGGCGACAAATCTCATCTCGTATCATGACAAAATACGCCCAGCGTATGATGACTCTTTTTTTTAATAGCGTAACAGCATTTGATGAAGTTAGGCTTTGGCTCCTTTATGCCAAGCGTCCAAAACCAGAAACACTTTTACAGATCTGATACCACTTGATAAAACCAGATCTTTTTTTAATTGAACTGTCATCAGTTGGGATCCACATTCTTTATCTCACTATACCAACCCTGATGATTCGCTGTAAGGTTTCAGATAAAACACACATATTCTCCCTTTGCATAGAGAGGGAGCAAAAGAGGCATCTGATTCAGACTGGGGCTCCCAAAAGACATTCACTTGCTGCAAAAGATACTTTGCTGGGAAAGGAGATGGGCATTTCCTACAATTAAAGGAATCTCCACCTTTTTACTGCTGACTAAGAAGAATGGCCTCTTAACAAATAGCAGAGGTCTCTCGCATTCCCGTCAAACTCACCTTGCTCCAAATTTCCTACAATATTATGTTTTTTCTATACGTCGGTGTCGGCTGAAAATCCTAAAGGGATTTACGGATATACGGGGAATAAGAGTGGAAAGCTTAGTTCACTGTTCCGCAGGGTGAGTTCTCTACTGCGCAAGAGGTACAACTGCACAGGGCTCATGGCTCATGTGTCCCAAGCCCATTTATTAGGGTGGGATAAGAAATGGTGATAGCAAAAGGTGGAGGAGTCCCCATTTCATTGCTTGCCCCAGGCAAACCGTGCTACTCTAGCACTTGTGAGTCTTAGTACGTGTCATTTCAGTTCTCGCCACCAGGTACCTGGCAAAATGTACATAGTGAACTGACGAATTCAGTTAATTGAAAATTAGTAATAGAGACAGTAACGCTCACTGAGCTCACTTTCTCCTTTGTATGGAAGGACATCAACAAGTTGATTGTCAAGACTCGGAAGCAGCATATGAGCCACGAGAATGGATAATAAGGGACCTTGAGGCATAAATGTTTCTGCATAAATTACAGAAAAAAACAAACAACAGAATATTTGTTGAAATGAGAAGTAGAACATTATGTGTGAAAATTAGTACCCTTGCTCTACTGAAGTGACGGAGAAATTTTTTCCTTGCTGAAGGCTGAGAAGTCCATGCTCAAAAACAACTCTCTGCCTGATCCAGGAGTAAAACAACAAAAATCAGCTGAAATCAGACCTTGGCTCAGTGTCCCCGTTCTCTGCTCTATTGGAAATCGTAAAATAACACATAGAAATTGATTAAACACTTTCAATACACTAACTGCAATGACTGAGACATATGAAATTACCTGAAACTCATCTTTTATCTGGCTGGAATTGGTCTGTGGATCTAGTCTGCTGATGTTGTAATATATGGATCTGAACTCACAAACTGGAATGGCCGTGTTGCCACAGAGACATGCCTCCAAAATGGCATCATGGACAAATACATACTGCTCCTGCACAGGGGAGGGGAGAAGATATTAAAATCATATTTTCAATACAGATAATGAAATATCATGCCTTTTTTTTTTTTTTTTTAAATCATGCCTGCTATGCATACTTGGCTCTGTTTCATGTGGAGACAAATTACACAGTGTGCTATGTGACAGCTTTGTGAGCATATTTCATCCATCATTTAATGTGAGGTCTCACGTATTCATTTCAAATTTACAAGTAAAATGGGAAGTCACCACTCTCAGGAACACTGGGACAAAACGGGGGTAGGCTGAGGAGGAAACCAGGGCGCAAAGCTTTTCTGATCACAATCACATGGCAATGGTCAGGAATGGATTGTGCTTTGGACCTAGGATAACACCAGAGAAACAACTGTACTAACAGGTCTGCTCCATTTGTCTCTTCAAAACCCCTGGAGTCTTGGTATTCTATGAGAAGCCCAAGAAAGTTAAAAGTCCTTCTCTGTTCCAGGCTCTTGTCCTGTCCCTCAGGAGGGGAAGGCATTGAAGCATATACATAAAACCTGTATAGCAGGATAACAGTTCCATAGAAGTTTGTGCAGCTGCTAGACGCTACGTGATGGAGCAGCTTGCTTTATCAGCACCCAAAGCTTGAATCAAGAATGTTTCACTTGTTTAGCTTGCAACTGATATAAACTAGGTACTATTGGAGTCTGCAGTACACCTATGAATGTACTATAGGGGATGAGGGGATTCAGGAGCTAGCTTTTTTCTACTATGAGAATAAAATTAATCAGCAAGAGTAAGTCCTAAACTTCAAGGTTTGCCCTCCTGCCTTAGAGGCCCTGAGTAGCCGCTAGTGAAAGTGATATGGTGCACATCTTGACACGTTTAGCCACCAAAAGTTCTGTATAATCACATCCCAGAGCAAGCAAGTGTTGACTTAAAGAATTGCTGGCGTCCTGTTGAGCAAAGAAGCTGACAGAAAAGCAGTACATCGTAAGAGAAGACGTGCTGGCACCTACCTCCGTCTGCACCAAATTGACCCTTTGGGATCGCAGCTCTCGCACACAGTTAAATATATCCACCACGCCTTCGTTCTCTGCCATGTCAAGCATGATGTCGATGGCAATAAAGCAGCCTGTTCTCCCAGCCCCAGCACTAAAAATAGAAAAAAACATGAGGGTCTGCATGATCAAGGGACTGTGGAGAGGCAGGACTCTATGGAGGAGAAAATAACTGCATCACAGACACAGCTTGGAAGCTGCTCCCTTCTCTCTACTGGGTTGATTTTTGTGTGTAGCTAAATTAGCTTAGGATTTAAGAGAATGAGGTGAAGTAATATTTCTTGAAAGGGAAATGGACCCAGGTAGCAGGAAGAAAAGAACATAAAAAAAAAATTACAAAAATAATCATCATGATTTTACAGGTTGGTTCACCTGCACACCTTTCATCACACAGGACGCCGTAGAGCAGCCTCCAGGTTGCAAATAGACACAATTCCAGAAATTTTCTTCCATGGGACTCTCTGAAATGTATGCACATGTTTACTCAAGTGGGCATGATGAAAGGAGCTCAGTCCTCCACCGCAAACATTTGTTTTCCCTTTTTAATCTGGAGGGGTTTGGGTCCTGAGGAGGGTGATTTCAAGTTGTGGATTGTAAAATTATAGAGAAAGGAGCTTGAGGCTACCCAAAACCTTCAGTTTAGAACCCCCTGCTGTGTGCGAGAATTGGACCGTCTCCTGCAAAACTGTTTCCCTCCTGGGAAATCATCCAAGCTGTTTAGGTGTGAAGGATAGAGAGAGGAGAACGACTCTTCACATTACTCCGAAGGAAGAAGGAAAACTCAGCTCAAAGCAGGAAAACTTCAGTTGCATGAAAACTCCAGCAGAGCCGAAAGCAAAGAGACATGAATGACCATAAATTAATGGACCAGATTAATCAACTGCTGAATAGAGAGAAGATATTTTTCATTTGCAGAATTTTAATGAATAAGTGGCATTTCCTCTCCCTTTATCTCTCAGCTTTTCAGAATTTTAACAAATAGTTATAACATTTCTATATTTAGAGGATCCTGGCACTTCATAAATATCGAACAGTGATATTATCCAGCCAGGCATCGGTAGGGAGAATTTGGTAATTACCACTTAAAGCAAGTCATTAAAATTCAAAAGCAGATAAATAACTGAGAGGAAATGGCATTTATTCATTAAAATGTGAAGGATGAAAAATTTCTCCTTGCTTTCTTTGTGACAGTGAATCAGGTTCAGACTCCTTCCAGGGCCAGACCCATGTCATGGCACCAAAGTAGCAAATTCAGGCCCTGATCTCTGAATGAATTCCCTTCTGCCAGATCCTCAGGCTTAACTGTATTTTATTATAAAACTGATTCATTGCTTGCTAGGAAAACCCCACAAAACAAAACACCCCCCGTAACCCAAAGCTTTTAAAAAGATAAGATTTAATTGATTTGCCTTTTTAAAGTGGTTGGGGATGTATTCTCTCTCTCTTCCTGATCACACAGCATGGCACTTAGACATAATTGTCTGTGGGTTGATTAGGGGTGAGATTCTGGGATAGCCAGCTCTGCTCTCCAGCCTTGTGCTCCAGCCACATCTCCTTTACAGAACACGTGCCCTGAGCTATGGCCTGAGCACTGCAGAAGTAACTGCTACAAACCTAAACTCTGTTTTTGTAGCAATGTCTTTCCGTGCATTTGAAGTCATCTAACTGATGCCAGTCTGTGCATGTGCTTGTGTCTGCTCTCCCGCCACCAGCAGCATGCCTGATCACACCTCAAGCTGTTAGTTCTTCATGTCAGGGACACTCTCTTACATATTCATATAGTGCCTTGCACAGCAGGGCTTTAAGCTTAGTTGGAAGAAAAGAGTACAGAAGAGCCCTCACCAGTAACAGCAGCAGCCAGGGAGTTAGCAAGCATGTGATTCGATAGTCTGAATTTTCACAGCTGTAAACCAAGCAGCAAGGTTTCCTCAGGTACTCCCCTTTTATTTACTAGCTGGAAGTTACTGGGTAGGTTTTCCATCTGACATTCCCATTCCAGCTCCTGGGCTTTGAGGAGGCCAAGATGCACACGGCTGGCATCCAGACCCAGGCAGACAGACTAACGTTTCAGATTAATGCTATTGATGTTGGTACAAAGCTGAACTGCAGTGCATGTGAGTAAAGAAAAGCAAAGTTGCTTTGAAATGCCCCGTCAGCAGCCCTGTCTTTTTGTAGGCATCGTCCCTTCTGCCACGTGAGGTTCGTTGTAGATAGACTGGAATGGCTGTCCCAGATATTTACCATTTTCCCAGCTCTGCTACGAGCAGCTAAGAGAATATAGGCCACCAGAGAGTCTTCTACATTCAAATGGCCCTCTCTGACCTACTTGTATCATCTCCAGTTCATGCCAGCTAAGCTCCAGAGCTGCCACTTTAGAAAAGAAAACCAAATTCCACTTTGTTTCAACATGAGGCCCACAAATTATACTCTCAAACAAACAAAATGTAGTTGATTATTGCCAAACAAGAAGAAAAAAGGACAAAAGCTGAAAAAGCTGATGGAGGAAAGGCTCAGACAAAGAGCTCGCATACCTGCAGTGCACAACAATGGGTCCTGCTTCCGGGGGATTGAGAAACTTCACCTGACGAACGAAGCCCAGGAGGCCTGTGGCGTAGCAAGGAACCCCGTGGTCCGGCCAGCTGGTGAAGTGGAACTGCCGAATCTCTCGGATCTCATGGTAGCCTTTCTGAGGAGACAACACAGCTTCTATTTTTCTTCCATCAGACTGCATTCAGGATATTCTGATCACTGCTCCTTTCCCTCACACAGAGGGCTGAACAAGCATTTAGCTCTCATTATATGCAGGAACATGTCCCGCGCTGCTTTTCGCTCCGCGTGATTTCAAGCTGAACTCCAAGTACAAATGAAGTGGGTAACATACAACTGAGGACTATGACGGTGAATGCCAGCTCCCAATTCAAACTTCTTGTCTTAGAGCTCAAACCCAGCTGATTAGGAACTTTACAGGGTGACTTCAGTCCCAGCATACTATGGCTGCACTTGTCCAGCCTCCTTTGGTGTTATTGCCATAAACCCCCAAGAAGTCACTCTTAAATCCTTTTTGAAACGTTGAAGTAAAAGCCTGGGGAGTGAACACCTACAGAGCGGCCATGCCCCAGGCAACGGTAGATTTTCTGCTATTTCCTGCCAAAAAATCTCAGTTTGAGATTACAGCCGCTGGTGAAAAGGGCAGAAACTGGTATCCAGACCCATCACTCAGCCTTTCTGGTGAGACCGAGTTATTGGTACATGAAAATTGACACCACTTGTACATGCCCTGCAAAGGGTAACACAGCAGTGTCAGTTAGCCGTGACATTTTATCGTACAGGAAACGTAGGTGGAATCAAGCAGCAGGTCCTCTAACCTGTCAAATTTTGGCATTAGCATTTCTTACCAAGTTTTTCAGTGATTTAAAGAAATATGGAGCTGATGTATTAGAAAATTGGAACAATATTCCCAGTGTGGCTGGAGTTCATTTAGCAGGAGTTTTTGAAAAGCTTTAAAACCACTTACTGAATGTTTGAGGAGTGATTTGGACAGACCTGGAATACTCTGACACTTAGACTTCCAATTTCTAATTACATGTAATAAAAATATTGCAAATCCTGCTGGTTTTGGGGATAATTTTTATACTCTTGCCTTTATTATATTTTTATTTCTGTTGAAAGGGGACCGTACCTGGCATCCATTTTAACTGATACCTTTTTCATCTGTAATTTGCCACTGTGAAACACAACATTATTATTCCTGGCATACCATCAACTAGCTGCTGGCTTTTGGATTCATTTAAACTTCATCTACTGTGGATTCTACTTTTGTGGCTACATCAAGATGTTCATTTAAAATCCTTTGTCCAAAATTGGAATGTCTGTCAAAAATTTAGGTTTCTGAAGTGAAACCTGTCCAAATAGTAACAGCTCCCATTTCCAAGAGCATTCTGGATATGTTTCCCAGAGTTCACATTGCTGAACGCAAATTAAGTGTTGTATCAAAATTTCAGCTGATTGAAGATTTCCTTACCTTTTGTACAGTAAATGTGCGTATGACATACTCTGCCAATGGTTCTGTCTCAATTAATGTGACTTTAATATCTCCATAGACCTCTGTGTCATCTGGCCAGTATCGAACACACTTTACCTGGGGGAAAAAAGAAAACATTGAGAGGAACTAGCTCAAGTTGAGTCAGAGCTGACCTACATTTTACTCCACTTTCAAGCTCAAGCCAACGCAAATTGGGCTTTCTTCTGATGTAGAGACCTTGTCAAAATTAACTGTATAAATTAGATCAAAATTCCTTTACCATATATAGAAATCACAGGGAGGATTTTTTTCAGCTCCCTCTGTTGTGAATACAAATGAAATGGATGCATTTAGCTCTTTGTCTTTAAAATAGTCTTCCTTAAATTTCCATACATGCCCTGACCGTATATCAGGTTTACAGAATACCTGGCAGGCAGTCACTACCACCATCCCGTTTGAGAAAATCTATGCTCCTGCTACTGCTACTGTAATTCTGAACTCTCTCTGTTTAGCCAAAGAATTTCAGTTCATAGGGATTGTGAGATACTTGTTGATACATTAAATTTGTTTGTCTCTAAGCTTTCCTTATCAGATGTGGACACAAATTTGACATTTTACCAGCTGTGACAGGCCTCAGCTAAGGCTCAAGAAAGAAATCTCCTCATCATGTAAACATATCCCAAGCTTAGCCACTTCTAGAAGCCATGTGCAAAATGAATAGTAGAAATTGAAGCCAAGGCTGTGAAGCTCTAGAAGGGATATTTAGGCTAACAAAAACTATCAAGTTATTAAATGCTCCAGCATGAAAGAGTGGAACAGCACCTAAAAGCTGAAGCAATTAGCTACCACGAAGCAGGTTTCATGTTCCAGTTCCAGCCATAATTGGAAGGGGGGTTATAAATATTAAATATCATTAATGGAGGTTTGTTGGGGTTTTTTTACACAGAGGCATTTATTTCAAACTGAAGTGTCAGTAGAAGGTAAAATAGAATAAATAACAATAAATGAACAGAACCAGCTGGCATTCAACCATGAGATCTAAAGAAAATCAAATACAAAGCAGCTGAATTACTAATAGCTGTGAGTAAACCATCATTTAAATTTTTCTTAGTAACAAAGCAATGGAAGGTGACATACACCAGGACAATATTTTTAAGAGCTCCAGTTTCTGGCTGAGAATGTCTCTAAACCAAAGACCACCAGGAGCGGGAAGAATATGTTGTGAATAGCCACCCCAGACATGCCTTCTTATTCCCTGAAGTCTAGCCTATGCCTTTTGAGTTATTCACATTTGCTCCCATTGTGGGCTTTGGCAATTGCCTTGTACTCACATAGGGACTTTTGGTTCATCTGAGTCCAAGAGAGTAAAGCAATGGGTGTTGAGGAGGCCAACGCTGCTGGGTGGCCCCAGGATCCAGCTGTGCACAATCTCCCACCACCACGGAATAGTGATCTTCTGAAGTGATTGGAAACTCTGGGCTTTGAACTGTCATTTAAAGAGCTCTTTTGATAGTTTGAACACCAGTTGCACGTTCTTGCCCCTCCAGATTTTTGTGGGTAGAGAAGTATTCAAATTATACAGATAAAGAATAATTATTACATAAGTACATTTTTCCTTCTGTACTGAAAAAGGAGACAGCCTCTCAGCTAGCATAAATTTGTATAACTGTTAAAGCTCAGACTTACACCAGGAACATGATCCTTATTAGTCTAGAAGGGAAGCAGCTAAGTATTACAAAATCTGGCATTTTAGAGAAAAACCCAGAGTGGCTTAATTCATTCCCTTACTACAGTAAGCAAAAGGCATTGATTGCACTTGCTGAGCTTGGCTGAACAGCAGGACTGTGTTATACCCAGCGCTGGTTTGGCTTTATATGTCAGCAAAGTGGGACCCTTACCCTGCCCACTTCCACCAAGTTGGTGACCATGACAACACTTGCAGAGTTTTCTTGCCAAATCATTCTCCAGAAATCCTTCACTGTTTCTTGCATTGGCCCTGGGGCAGGAGAAAAGACAAAAGGACACCTTAAGAGAGTGTATTGAATGCCAACAACTCTTTTCAGCTATTCCCCAACCATTGCCCTGTTCCCAGAGGATCCTACTCTCTCTCTCTCAGAGCATCCCTCTGTGATTCAGAGTTACAGACATGAAGAGCCTGAAGCTGTTTAAGAGCTCCGACACTTCCTCGCAGTGGGTATTTAAGGTTCTAGCATGCTGGAGCCAGAGGCGATGGCTGTATTGTAAATACTGGAGATGGCTCCAGTAGGTAATCATGTATCAGTGATGGGACATGGATGAACCCTATACTGACTCTGTAATTAAGGCTGTATTGAAATTTGTACCTGATGCAGCACTAAAATTCCTCCATTTCACACTTTAATATTTATTAATTTTGAAGGAGGAAGGAAACATGCAGAAATTAGCCCTTTTCTCAAGTTCCCCCAGAGAGAAAAATTTCAGGTTCCAACAGCCAGTACTCACAGGAGATTTATTAGACTAGAGCCTCTCTCTGACCTTGTTTCCTTCCTCTCTTCTACACTGCAGAGGAAATCCTCCCACGGACTCCTTTCACCCACTCTGCACATACTCCATCCTCCATGTTCTCTGCCTTGCTGCATTCCCTGTGCTGTACGTCCTCAAATGCCAGTTTTATTCCCACATGTTTTTTCACTCTTTCAATAGGGACAAGCCAGCAATGAAGTCATAAAGCAGAATTTAAGAATAGAGTCATTTCTATGAACATCACATTTGCAGGTAAGGAACGCACAAAAATGAGGACAAATAATGGTAGAGGAAGTGGTCATGGCATAAGAGTTTGGTCAGTGATGCAGGAAAACAGCATCCTGTTGAAAAGGAGTAAGGAGGTTTGTCATCTAACATGGACCGCCCTCAGCATTGAATTGTGTTGGGGTTTTTTTTGTTTTTTTTTTTTCTTTTTTTTCCCCCTAAAGGCAGAGGAAACTCATAAACTAATTTACACAAGGTGGTGTTCAAATGCATTTCCTACTGGTTCCCAGTAACCAAAAGTTCATCAGTCACAGGCTTATTCATACTGCCCTCCTCAAGCAATTTCCCTCCAGAAGGAGACCCGTAAAGTCCCTTTCAGTTCTAATCTCATACTTCATGCACAAGGGACACATTATAGATTGTACTGCCACCTCTAAGTCCATAGCATTTTTTATTCCCGTAGCTGAGGTTTTGCATTTGAGTGCCTTAAAGATCTTGGAACATTCTATAACCTTCCTTTTTGTGCCCCTATACCAAGTTTTGAGATGCTCCCCAAAACAGAAGATGTCACCCTATAAATAGCTCTTCCAACAGTTTAAAACAGAAGTGGTTTTACAGATATTTAGACATACAAGAATGAACTTGCCTTGAGTTGCAATGTAATGGCGAGGCCGGTGGTACCCCTGGAAAAAAAGAAAATATGTGATGATCTGCGAGATCACAGTTCAGACAAAGCACGCCATGTATTTTACACTTTCCAGGTACCAACAACCACTGCACTCTTAACAGCGTACCAACACTGGTTATCAAATGAATGAAGATAGGCAACTATCTATGAGATTTTTAAAGTGATGGTATCTTGCTCAGGCTGAATAATAAGATCTCGTTATGCCAAAGAGAAAACAGGAATGGGGCAGTGTTGAGTATTTCCTCAACGAAACACAAATCCTGTGACTAATCTGTGGGCAACTCTGAAAACTAACAGGCAAAACGCTGCACCTTCTTGTCTGAAAACAAAGAAAGGTATGCATTTGCCTCTGTATGAAAATGCTGTGTACCAGTCTTATGTGACTTTATTAGGTGAAGAAACTCTTCTGAACATTGTCATGTTCCTAAGATTTAGGAGATGTGTACAAGAAATGTACATTCACTTGATCATTCTGTGTGTGCGAGGGAGGCTGCTTTTTGGATGTTATTTTATAATACAAAAAAAAAAGTCAATCTATTTACATGCCTTCTGCACTGCAACTTTGTAAGAAGTTGATAAGTCTCAGATATCTACTAATGCTATTGCAAGGGGCTGATATCAATTTCCACATACGTCATTTAGCCCACATTCCACTTATGTTGGTGGATCTGTCAAACATAGGAAATCTCCATCTGTCCAGATTGGTCAGACAGAATAAACTGGAGACTGAGAACCTTCTCCCTGTCACGACACGATGTTTGTATAATGTTCAGCTGTCATTTGTATCAGATCAACAGCCTGTCCCTACGTCAGATGCACCAACTTCACAAGCACACTTGTCAGCAGGAGCGTTTGTCATAGCGGGAATGTCCAGGAGCCTTACATCTATGTAATTGGCGTTTATGTAGTCAGAGTGAGGGTCCCCATCCAGCAGCTGCAATCTCACTCTTGAATGATCATCTGAAAGAAGGAAAGGAAAAAAAGTGACAGTAACGATAAAGAGGAGTTTTATTTTATCTGTCAATTCCTGCAAGTGGATAATTGAATACTTACAATAATAAAAAATGAAAGACTACTACAGGTATTCCTGTTCCTAAAAGCCCTTTCTTTTGTGTTTAAGATGTAATGTTTAGATCCTTAGGTTAGTGTTCATTCATACTGTGTGTTCATTAAATTTACTGCTGTCATCATAATCCTTATAGAGCTTTTAGACAGACCACAAATGTTGCTTGCTTTGGGGGTCTTGGGACAGATCTTTGCAGGATGTATCTCCATCCACAAAAGCCATCTTCACACTTAGAAGTAACAGCCTCCCTGGCTTCATCTGACCTATGGAAACTGAGGCAAGAGCTAAAACTGTCAAGATCAGAATAAAAATAAATAGGTCATGACAGAGGTATAAAAGATTAAGCAGGGTAAAACGGCAAATGAAATCCTGCAAATAAGAAATGGGGCAATGCAGAAACCTGAAAGGAAATACCAAAGGAAATCAAAGCAGTGTTCCTTTATGCGACCCACAGAACTCATGGCAACAAAATGGCATTAAGGCAGTGTTGAAAAAAAAATAGAAATGTTAATGCTTTTGAGGACGTTCGAAGTTACTTAAGATAAAGGCAATAAAATAACAGATATCAATCTTTTCATCTCCCAGCATGTTCTACAGTTCAGACGCAGAAAGGAACTACCCCAGCGGGCAGATCATGTCATGATTTTCCACCAAGGGAATATTTTGATCTTTCTCTGGAGCAGCTGGTGCTGGGCTCTGTCAGAGGAGATACTCTGTGAGCTGGGCTGTTGAGCTGATTTGGTCTGGCAATCCCAGCACCAGTATGCAATTAATTGCAGAACAACCATCTAAGGGCCAGTTGCTTGGCAAAGGCTACTGGGTTACAGAGGTCACCACTGGGCATGCGGGGCTCATTTTTAAATGATTTTTTAAAGAAGTATAACATAGAGTCCATTAAGTTTATTTCCTCTCTACCTGCTCTGTAGACCCTAGCTTTCAGTCAGTAAAGCATTAATGTTTAGAGGCACTTTGCAAAATACAGGCCTAAGCATGATTTAGATTCAATTAAAAAGAATCACAGCAATGAAACATAAAAATACGAGGTGTGATTGTGCAGTAACTCAGTCAAAAATGGTTTTAGTCATCACTTAATTAAATGTAGAATCAGATAATAATTGTGAAGACAGATGTGCATGCAGTTCTGAAAGCCAAGATTTGGATAAATATTAAATATTCATTTGGTTACATAAAGCAATGATTCTTATACTCTGTTCGTTCTTTGGGTGAGATTTTCACACCCAGAAAATACAACCACATTGCTGTATTTATCAAATCCCGTATTTTCATTCAAAAAAGGTTATGCAGGTGAAACAATCAAAAGCTCTGTTATATTTGTATTAATAAATATAACCTTTGTAGACACGGTAGAAGTAGGTATATTTCTTAGAGTGCTGCTGCTGTTCCCAACTCTAGACAATTACCTGCGCTCAAGGCAACTGCACTAGAAGTTGCAGTAAATCATGTGGTTAGACAGACAACAAAAGAATTTACACTTAGAGTAATTCACAAAGACAGACAAAGAGCTGATTAAACCAGACATCCAGATGAAATACACAAAATCTCCCGTAGACAATTTCACACTTGCAATTCAAGGCAAAAAACTAGGGCTAGTTAAGAATCACACAGAACAAAGGCAAAAAAAAAAAACCCCTAGAGCTAATGGTCGGGAGGGGAATATTTACTAACTCCTCTTGCGATGCCACGATATAACATTATGGAAGTCTTAACTTATTGCAACAACAGAACTAAAAAGTAATGAGACCAAAAATGACCCCAACGGCAGGTGAAAAGAATCTCAGGTTGATTTTTTTTAAGTGGGACAAAGACACTGTGTATGCACGGTGTGTAGCTGAAGTGCTCTGAATAGCCTTCAAGGAAGATCCTGCCTCTCTTCATTTAATAGAACCAATTGCAAAAATTAAGTTTCAGCTCTTTGAGCCACTCTTTAGTTAAAAACTTCAAACGGATCGGATGAATACCTCCTGAGGGAGCTAGATTTGAAAGACCTGAGAAGGAGACTACAGAAAAGGTCTATGCATTTAAGACAATTATGGATAAAGAAAAGATGCTCTGCAGCTGTAAAAAGTGGTGGTGTTTTTTTCCCTTTAAGCCAAATATCGTTATTCTATCTGCGAAGAACAGTAACGGATGAAGAAATGGCCACTGGAAATGATGGTATTTTTAAAAAAGAAGATACTCAGGTTTAGGTCCAACTATATTTTGGGACCAAATGAAAAATTCTTTTAGTTGAACTTTGCTTCAGGAGGACAGAATTCACAGTATTTCATTGCATATTTTACAAAAATGAGATTAATTCCTGTGGGAGGTTTATTTCTGTTATGACTGTGCAGCAGAAAAAACCCTGTGTATATGGTAAGCACACAAAATATTAATGATGACTTAATGGTGCCTTTAATCTTGTTCATAAGCTTAGGAGCACAGTCTGAATAAAAGTTCATGAAATAACTTACCTTGTAAATCCCTGTTTTCCCCCAAAACTTTGTAATTTATTTGGCTTGCCTTTTTAATGAAGAGGGGCAAAAACCAATGCAACTTATTATGCTACTAACTGCAATGATCTTGTACTTAGTTTTTTTCATCTATAGACTTTAAAGAACAGCAAATGTCTTCACTGTATCTTCTCCCAAGAATCAGAAATAAATTCTGACCATACACCCTTTCCACTGGACTACACTAGTCAAGGAGACTACATATTTGGCATACTGAAATAAAAGTGTAGCTCAACTCTTCTATAAGTTTATCAGACATCGTATCACCGTGTGTTACAAATAGATTATAAGAAACTTTAAAAACGTAGGGAGAAACAGATGAAAAATTGCATGTCTGTAACATTCAGGACTGCAAAAAATGGCAATATACTTTAAGAAATGTATAAATGATTTTATTTCTCCTTGTTTACTATAGTCTGTATGCAAGTTAGCAGAACTCTAAATTTGTATGAAAAGTACTTTGACTGAAAATTGGTCTTAAAACAGATTTTAAAAGTGACAAGAATTTCACTGAAAAGCAGTATGCTCCCACAAAAATGTTATTGTTTCAAATTTCTGTCAAAATCCCCATTAGTGATCATTTGAAATATCATTGCAATTTTTCCACATCTCATTTTGACACCAGCACTGGATTAATCTCACACAACTTTTGCCATCTAAATATTACGCAGCTAGTCTAAACTGGCTGTCAAAGTTCCCCACATAGTCAATGGAGAAATACAGACATCTTCTGAAATTATTCAACCCAGGTCTGGTAAGAAAGGATGATTTGCCCTCCCAAGGCACACTGTACTCCCTTTTCTTTCCCCACTGGTCCTGGACTGTGCCTTGAGAGCTGGGTACTAGCGAGGTGCGATATATCCCACCCTCTCAGGATCACATACCATAGACACTGCACAGACAAGCAAGATTTTAGGCACTACAGAAGAAACTATGGAATAAAAATGCTTGGAAGACAAAAGACTTCTATTCTAAATCCAATACTGACATGTGGGTTTTTTTTTATTTTATCCCTGTCCATAGCCAAGAAGTGCACTCCACCTGCGTTTCAGCTGAGAGCTCCGTTAATCTTTCTCTGTTGTTCGTCTCTTCCACCACAAAATTCTCTGATTAATTCATAGTTTTCCAGCCCAAAGCATATGGTAGTCAGAGCATGAAGGAAATGAAGCAAATTTCTCTACCGTCTTTTCTCATCAACTCAATAGTTTTTAACGGACCATCACAAGACTTTAAAACCACTGTGCCCAAGTGGGAAGATGCTCTACTGCAGATGGGAGGACGTGTCTAAAGTAGCACCAGTACAAGCACTCCTGTGAGTGCTGACCTTCTCCTGTAATATTATGCTCAGTAAAGGGAGAAAAAGAAAGGGAAAGAAAGTGCTCTCCTGTAAGTCGAAGCAAAACACAATCTTGTGTCTTTATGTCCTCAGCTCTCATCTGAGAGTTTTTATCTCTTGTAATATAGGGGCTCTAAATACGGACAAGATGGGGAGAAATAGAATAGAACCAAAGGTCCCATATAGCTTCTGGATGTTTTTTCTGCTATGTAATGGGTTCAGCTCAACATCCCTCCCCTAATATCCACTTGCTGATGTGCTTTGAAGGCCTCAATATCTAGGCCCTAAAGCAAATTTAAATCATTTGCTTCAGCATATAAATGGATACACTACCTACCCTTTCCCCCCAAAGAAAAATCTTGCATCTCCCCAGCTGCCCTTGTGTTTACAGCTTTTATACCCAAAGTGCAGGAGCAAAGCTCACGGACTCTACTGATACAACAAAAAGTTCGAGTAGGGCAGCTTCCTCCAGCACGGCAAATGTGTGCAATTACAGTGCACCTTTCCACCATCAGCAGTGGATTTCTGTGGTCATACAGACCCCAAATCCACTCCCCAGCTTTTCCTTTTTCTCTAAAAAACATACCAGTGTTGCAGATTGAAGGGAAACCTGAAAAGCTGGGGTTTAAAGCATAGGAGAGCTTAGAGCTCTCTTGCATCTCCTCTCCATGAACAGATTAGCCTCATCTGCAGTTTTGGTTTGCCAATGTAAGAACAGCAGATGTTGGGGCTGGCAGTAAGATCTAGGTTTTCATAGAGAGGCATGATGTTAATACAGCCCTGGGAAAGCAGTGAGCCGAGAAAAACAGTCCTGTAAGTGTACTATTACCCAGAAGACCATAAAGACAAGATCTAATCTGCTGTGATTCACTGAGCAATGCCACTTATTGCAAGAGCTTACAAACCCATGTTTTAACAAAAGTCTCTGAAGCAGTTACAAAAGTTAGATTAAAACCTGACTTTTCAATTCACTCCCAAAAGGCATGGGATATCTTGTTCCAGGAGTGATGAAATGGCAACTGTGGTTAAATAAATAATGTTAATTGCCATCTGCAGCCTTTTACCAAATAAACTGGTAGAAGCAATCAGTGCAGACTCTGGGTTTTACCAGCAAGTACAATTCTACTACAACAAAGCAGCTAAGGCTGTAATTGTTTTCCACCTCCCCTCCTCTGCTCAGACTTCTGCAGTTTGTACCCACTGAGCACAATCCGTTTTCATGATCTGCCCAGAGCGAGCCACTCTCCTGCAATTCTCAGCCCTGCCATCAATTCTCTATTCCGGATCCTGTCATTGCCTTTACTCAGGAAAGTTGCCCAACGTCACCCATCAGTAGGGTCTGGCTCAAGGCCTAGCCAGTGACACCACTGATAATTTCCCAATGGCTTTACAAAATGTCTGATGAATGATATGCTCCTTCCTCAGGCATCCTCCCTTCCTTCTCTGTAGCCTCTTCAAAATGAAACAAGGATTTCACTCCATTTTATAACTCTTTATTGCACATTACTAAATTCTCCTTGCTGTCTTTTAGAAGAGCTGTTGTCTCCTCCTCTAACTCTTTGTTCCGATATATATTTAAAGCAAAGAAAACCCACTCAACTTTATTTACCTTCAACTCTTCTGCATCCTTCCTCTCTTTCACTACCTTGCTTTATCTATGCCTTTCCACCCTCTCAACCTCATTCTGAAATCTTTCCCAAGAGCCCCGAAACTTGAGCTTCTTTCCTGATGTTTTATACTGTGCAGACACTTCTTCCTTAGCTTTGATTACATTTTGCATTCCCTTATTCAAGCGTATCACCTCCTATCTGTATTGCTACTGTACGTATATTTACAGCTAAAAGGCTAACATCACTCTTCATTAGACAACAATTCATCTTTGTGAACACTCTCCCTTTAGTTAATACCCCATTTATCTTCCTCGATTTTGCTTCCTTAATTTCTTCTCACATTTCACTTGGAGTTCACAGTTTTCTTTGTGACCACCTTCGACATAAATTAGATGGTAGCTATCGCAAACAGTCTTGTCTCTTTTCACCTCCACTTTTAAGTTATGTCAACTGCTTCTTCAAAATCATAGAGAGAAACAAAGCGTCTTTCATGTTTCCTTCCTTATATCATACCATGGCACTTCCACCTTCAATCCAGTGTGCAGTTGTTATAGCTGGACTATTCTTCTGTCTTAGATTAATTTAATCTAAGCTAATCATATAGACGAGTAAATTGAACCTCTGTCTGGAAGGATCTCTCTTTGCCACTAGGAGCACAGGAGAGTTACAGACTACTGCTTTTATGCAGCTGAACTTATGGGAGATGATTTTCCGTGCTAACTGTAATACTCCATTACTATCACTTCCATTTTCCACACGGAAAACCAAAGACTGATGGAACTGGTGACCTGCTCACAACCAACGCAGAAAGCCAGCAGCAGAAGTGGGATCAGATCAGGGCTCACAAACTTCTGATCCCCCAAAACTGTTACATGATTCATTTCTTTCAAGCCTTAAAAGAAAGAGAGGAGTAAGTAAGTACGTGAGAGATGATCTTTCTTTGTGGCCAAGGGTTTTTTTTAATTATTTCAGAAAGTCTGTTTGTTCTACAGGAAATACATATATAACCTGAGGAAAAAAAGACAGTACTAAATATATATCACTCGGCATGACTTAATTTTGCTCTTATAGTGTTCTATAGATTTATCCAGTCATGAAAATCTATGGCACATTCATTTATATTCTTATTCCTTGTTCTGATGGTCTCGGGCCTGGCTTCTCCAACTTGATGCTACACAGCAGCCCTTAAAAAGAATAACTTCTCACACCTCCTCTCCCCAGTCATTATAAGGAATGATGAAACACTGGAGTAAGCTGCCTGCAGAGCTTGTGGAAAGCTCAACTTTGGAGATCATTAGGAAGAGGCTTCACAAATATCTGATAAAAAAGACAGAGGTGAATCTAGTCCTGACTTGGAGAATAAAGCTGACCTAAATGGTTTTATGGAGTCCTTCACTGCCCCACAGTTCTGCGACATATCAATATTCCTATAACATCAACAGTAATTGGTTATTGAAAGAAGTAAAACTAAGAAGCTTTAATGCATTTTCAGCTGCCTTATTGTGATTCTGAGGCAGAATCTAAGCTTGTCCCACACATCAAACCAGCTCTCTGGCGACAGCAGTGACTGCTCCACTGGTTACTGACCACAAGGAAGGAGAAAATCTGATCTCTGATCCGTATCTAAAAGTCCGACATATATCTGCATCTCCTTTCATGCTCCCATTCGTGGCACTGAAAGCTCCAGGTTATGTAGGAAAAATGGACAAAAAATGGGCATCATCACCCACTGTGAAAATCTGACAAAAGGATTTAGCTCTTAAATTACAAACATTAAGCACAAAGCAAGGTAGATAGAAAATGTGTAAAAAAGGTGAAGTCATGCAATGACTTTATGTAAAGCAATGAAAAAAACATAAAATAAATCATAGAAACATAGCTTGTAACAAACAGGTAGAACTCCTGAATGCTCAGCACTGTAAACCAGCTTTTAGTGAGATTCTCAAGCACACCCTTTTCCACAGGACACATATAAAATCTTACAGAAAGCTCAGTTTAATGTGAATTTACACCTACAGGAGATTATGTTTCCATATCTGTTCTTATTGCGGTTTTCGTCTTCCTTGGCTGTATCCCAGGATGCGGTCTGCCCTTCGGGTAGTGCCTGCAAAATAAACAATAGTGGAGTGTTTATAAAAATCTGGCCAATGCCTTCAGGTAGATTAAGATGACTGAGCAGAGCAAAAATAAAGGCACTGCATAATTCAGTAGCAACCAAGCAAACAGCTGTTCTTGAGGAAAGGGCACATCCACTAACGCAAAGAGCTTGGTTCAGACCATTTGCATCTCTTGGCTTCTGCCAGCAAAGAAATCATTCTCCTCCTGCTACTTCAGATCTAAAAGGATTGGGGGAATTTGCTTCTGGCTGCACAGTCACAGGTTAACCACATTTCCCCTGTAGAACCGGGTTTGTGGAGATTTCACATACATACGCTTCTAAGAAAACTCAGATGGCTGAAACGCAGTGCTCAGTCTTTCATATTTAAGTTGAAAACAGATACGGTGGTTTCACCTATTTCTATATTAATAACGGGGTGATGCAATACAAACCACCAGCTGGTTTTCTTTGGGGAAAAATAAAAAAGCTCAGGGTTTTAGATCATGTGTAAGAAAGAGAGGCAAAAGGAGGTAAAACATGTTCATGAAGTATGAAAATAGTAATTTTCCTAAAATCTGCTCTTTCAGTTGAGAAAGGATGGGGTAAGGAAACTAGCAGCACACAGTGCTACCCTACCCTACAGCTTGGTCCTATAACTATTCTGAACACACTCAAATGAGACACTTTCCCCTTGAGACACGTCCAGGAAGAAATTTTTCAAGGCAAAGCCAGGAAAATGGCCGTTGTCACGGGATCTGGCTAAAGTACAGCCTTGCTCTCCTTAGAAGGTGGCCCGGACTGCCTGTAAGCAGGATGATCCCTCTCCCTGTCGCCAGACGGTTGGGAAAGTCAGCACGGGCAGGTCACAGCACCAGCTCCTTGGTTATCACTGGTGTCACAACCGGATGGAGAGCCATGATCTGCAAACGGCTGGCGTGGGCTGCAGCAAGCCTAGCCTTGACTTGCACGAAAACAGAAGTGAGGAGAAGAACAGCTCCCACTGAATTGCCTCTTAAGATCTGCCTCCTCCAAGATCAACTCCCTAATTTGATCACACATTACTAAAAACACCAACCTTATAAATTTTATTATTTATGGTCTCCAGGGAATTACAGGGCTTTTATACCACAATTATTGTAGAATCGTATCTGCCTTAGCTAGCAGCGGGTAGTTTGACACAGCTGTGCCAGAAAATAAATTTATATTCATCTTCACAAGCCATCCAGGTCTATTACAGTGCCTGAATGCAATAGCAGAGAGACACAATTATTAGGATCTACAACACTGACATTACAATTAAACTTAATATGAGCAAACCCCTGGCAGACCAGATCGTTGTGAATTTTCCCCAAAGGGGTTCCAGGACAGAAAATGTCAGGCACTGCAGCACTGCCACGAGCATTGCTGACAAAAGACAGGGACAGTGAGTTCCTATTCAAAAGCCCAGAAGAAAGAGTAATAACTCTGTAATTGGTGAGGGCTTTGATCACACATATATTTCCTTTACAGACAGCTGTTTCCAAATAGCAGCTCATCTCCTGAGCAAAAACAACCCAACCAACAAACCCACACACAACAAAAATAATCCCCGAGTAAAAGAAAAGAGGTGAGGAAGGTTCATTTTCATCTTCAAAGACTGAGGAAAAGGGTGCCTTATTTTTCCACTAATATCAAATTACAGCAGATTGACCAGAGAATGGCAACAGTCATTAGACACCTAATCATAGCTACCTGAAAAGAAAAAGAAGGAGAAGAAAAAAAAAGAAAATCCTTTCTCATGACTTCTACGTGGGGAAGCTATACTGGCCAAAGAAAACACATTGAGGTCCAATAAATCCCTTTTCAACAAACCCTATCCTTTCATGTGATTTGAACATGAAATTCTCCATTGAAATCGATGTTTTTATATTTGCCTGATATAGCCTCCAAAGATTTAAGAGTCCAGGATTTTTCATCTCATTCAAAACCAAAGAAATCTCTGCTTTTCACAGAACTATCCATCTCTGAAGAGCAGAAGCACGGCTCTGGTTGGCGAGGAACACAAACTGCCTTCGCAGAGGTGTACCTTATACCCCTACTTTTATACACACCAGATGAACAAATTGGAGTAATCGCATGTACACGGGTGGTACAGTACAAACAATTTTTCCGAGATCACTAAAAAAAGCAGCACCAAGAACTGAAACTGCATTAAAAATACAAAGGCAAAAATATCAATTATAATTCGGTTGCATCCAGAAAAAGAGGAGCATACCTAATGTTTTGTTCCTTCAGTTTTTTGTTTGTACAATAAGTATCTCTATACTAGCTAAAAGGGTTAATATTTCTGTTTCTCTCTGCATTATCAGCAATGGTAAATCAGGACAGATCACTCAGGCGTCAGTATTTGTTCCGAATTTCACAGGAATCCCTCCCCCTTCTTTCTTTGATTTAACAACTACAAACTTTCAGTGTTCAAAAATCTGGACTTGATTTTCAGGCTTTTCTTACTTTTCTTCTTTTAGAGAAGTTTTGTAAAATTTATACCGAAGTATCATCCCAGCAGCGGAACTTATGTTACAATGATGGTTTTTGAATGGAATTGATCTAATTTTTATCTGAAATTGCAAGGATAGGTCTCTAAAAGTCAGCTTCATCTCAATCAAGCTTTCTAAGCAACACAGTCCCAACATAACTAAAGTGTTCACATTAAATTGAGGTTTATTACAAGCCAATTTAAATTTCCAATGGATGCATTCAGTTAGTTTGCTGTTTGTTTTTAATTTAGGTAAGAAAACTTGAATCATTCGTTTGCACTGATCTACCCCAACACTGCAGTATTGCTGCCAAAGGCAACAACATCAGTTAAAAACCTTGCTGCTCATCTCAAAGCCTGCCACAGTCCTGTCCCTCTCCCTGCAGCCACTACCTTCTCAACAGCAGTGGAAAAACTGTTCCCACAACTCTGCTGTGACCCAGGGTTAAAAATTGCTTTGGAAAAAAAAAAATCAAACTAAAAAGAAATATTTCAGCCAGTTCAGTTCCCCATTCCAGTTCGTAGTAAAGCCTAAAGCCAACATTTGTCTACGGACAGCACCTACAGCAACACCCTGCTGCCAAACATTTTGCAATGTCACGTCATAGCCTGAACCACCGGATCTATTCTTTTGACCAGAGACAAGATGTGTAGCCAGCCAGAAATGAAAGGGTTACAATCCAGAGGTGACTACAATAAGCTGAAGACTCTCAATACTAAGATGTTTGAGGAAGGAGCCACAAAATCCAAAATAACTAAACGGTCTCAGTAATGCAGCAGGAGAATGTGCTTTAGTGACATCCTAAATCATAATGGAAAATGAGTTTGGATACTTAAGCTTATTATCTCCTTAGCCAGTAATTGGCACTCTCAGTAAGTCTGTGGGACTAGTCCTGCAGCTCACAACAAATCAGGGCTCTGAAAAAGGAACAGGTGACATTTAAACGTGTCCTGTTTAAATGTTTACAGCTATGCCTAATCCCAAAAAGTGCTATCTACATCCAGTGCCAGTGATACATTTTTCTCTTGTGGTCTACACATTTTATTGCTAAACAGAAGCAGCAGCCAAAAAGGCCCAAGCCACACTTGGGCCTCAGGTGCAGCAGGCAGACCCAAAATAACACACACGTGGCAAGTGCTGACAGATTCCCATGTTCACACACACAGTTATCACCCATTTCACACCAGCAGTGACACCACTTACGCAGTCACATCCTGCTCGTCATCTCAGTGCGGAGTTACGTGCGAGATGCAAGCACCAGAAATATTTTTCTAGATGCCCTCAGTAAAACAAGCTGCCTGAGCTCTAACGGTCCGTAGGTGAAGGTATACTTTAAACAAATACCACACGCGATTTCCAGGTTACTCAGTGGAGATAAGAATGTACAGAGATAAGAAATTGTCATGTGTGACTGATACACTCCGTTCAAAGAGATTTTCCATGAGAGTAAAATTATTTGGTAACATGTCACTAAACAGGCTGTAATTTATGCTATCAATTTGCAAAGTAGCAAATCAGCTTCTTAGAAGAAAACACATATTTGGAGGTGACACTGATATTAGTGTATGAAAACACATTTTAAAAGAGACATCAAATTATTTTTGAAGATTTTATCAACCATTCTGCAGAATGTTTTGCTAAGCCAGTTTTGCAGCTTTGTGTTCCTCCAGATTCCAGTCTGAGACACCACTCTCAGCCAACTTAAACCTCCTCCTACCTTCCACGAGTTATAACACTCCTTGACATCCTCCCCGCATTTGCGATATTGCTGGTGGTAGCTGAAAGTTGTTTGGAGCTGAAGTGCTGCCTGCGTCCAATGCTCTGAAAACCAAATTCCACCATTCAAAAGGACTGCTGCTTCGGGCAATTACCTCTGACTGAAGGGTAGAACAGCGCATGTGATTTGAGAGCTTTTGGCATTCTCCAGGCTATTTCTTGTAAAGAAAGGAATTATGCAAATCTATATAATGTCATCGTCATTATATACGTATGTAGACTGCGCTTTCTGGGAAAGGCAGAATTTGTGGAGCTGAAAGTTGCATTGACATTTTTCATGCTAATGTGTTATTTTGATAATTACATATATGCCAGCATCTGTTTTCTTCTTGAACATCAAGAACTAGATCTTAGGGCATCTGTAATTGAGGTGAATGTAGTTTTGGGTACTGTTCATGGATATGGAGGCCAAGGGGGGGGCTAAGTAAATCTCCTAAGAGAATTATTACCCTTTTTCAATATTAAACAGAGCTCTTTATATTGATAGTTTAATTAGCATGCTTGATTGCGGGGCATGAGTGACTAGACCTGGTTAACATACAGTTACCAGAAACATTTGTTATAACAGTCTTTGATGCCATCCGATTAAAAAAACAATCTCCCTGGTGACAACCGGGAAAAGATCGCCTCTCAATTACAGCAAAACCCAGCATCAATGATACAAACCCCACGGACTCTTACTTGCAGGGTGGAAAAGTGAGCTGTTTTCATTAAGTAACTTATTTTTCACAGCTGTTACGTTATTTTTAAGTAGTTTTAATGCCACTATGCATATTAATTGCTTATTGCCCTCCCACAAGCTTACTACATTCATTATAATTATCGCTTGCTAGAGCAAAGTCTCACATATGTTTGATGCTATTTCCCTCTTCTCTTCTCTCTGCTCTAAATGTACATTCCTCTTTCAGCTCCTCCCCAACGTCATGTTTCTTCTTGTCATTTGGGTTATGCTGCTGGTCATTCCAGCTTGCGGGGAAGAGGTGGGGGGGAGGAGGGTCGCTTTCATTTTTGCAGCTTACTCTTTGCTTCTCTCCTCACATGGAGTTGGAAGAGTACATAAGTCGAACATAGTCTGAGCCAGGGGTTTGAGCATACTGGAAAACTCCACCTTCATTTAAGCTACACGAGGTTCCTGCCTTTGCAATTCTGCATTCAGGTCATTATGCTCTGATTTAATTTGATCAATTGTTACAGAGTATTTGGAGCTCCCAAAAAGCTCGAGCAAAACCCCTTCCTTTTCTTAAAGCCTGGCTTGCACTACTGTCAATGAAAGCACATCAATAAGTAAGGGACTATGGGACTCTAAGTCCTTCATTGAGTTCAGCACCTGTTAAATATTTACTCCCTGCTCTTTATGGGAGAGAGGGCACATGCTAATGGATGAGCACAACGTCATTATCTTACTGTTGTGGTAAACACCTTTACTTTCAACTAGAGGGCCACCAAAGATTGCTAGTGCTGTAAAATCCTACCCTCATAAACAGAAATAAAATGGAGAAAGGAAAGGATTAAAAAGGTAAGTGAATTAAAGAAAAGAAGCTCTTAAAATCTGTTATCCTCCCCTCCCGAGCATCTATCCTTTGTGAGCGCAACTTCTCTACTTATTCATGTGAGTGAAGGTTACTCTCACCTCATACTCCTCTTTAAATCCATAGCCCTGTCCTCGCTTCATCTGGGTGATGTGCTGCAGCAGGTCGGCCACTCGGATGGCTGGCTGGAACTGCCCCCGGGGGTAGGACATTTCCACCGGCTCGCAGCTCCGGTACGGGTGGGTCTGGATAGTCAGGGTTGGCTGGGTCATCTCTCCATGGCTACTGTCTGTTTTAAAGACAGGGAGGCAAAACAAGCTTTCACCTATCTGGTATTTCCACTCTCATTCTTGCTCTGTTTATTTGTTTCTCCACCATTACATAGGTTGTTGCAGGCAAAAGAAAGTAAAGAAATAAGTAGGGAACACACACTTGCCTACAGCTGCCTAAAAAGACTAAATCACACTTGAATAGTTTTTGTGTCAAGGAGACAAACCCAAAGAGATGGGAAACAGAGTAAAGAGCCAATCAGGCTACCGAGGATACAGCACATAGAGCGAAATAGCACATTTTGTAAGGGCGAGCTCTGCGTAACGACGCCAGTCGAATTACATACCTTTCTTCACAAACCTGCAAAGAACATGACTGAACACATGACACACAGACGAGCAAGATATTCAAGCGGGATCTGGGGTGTACAATATGAGATAACTGAAAGGGGCCCAAGTTAATAGCAAACAAATTATTAGTGTTTCAATAAGCCACACGGGGTGTTAGAGGCAAATTAAACTGCTCTGCTAGTTCAGGCCTAAAATTTATATGTCAATTACAAAGATGTAATATTATCAGAAAGAATAAGCCAGCATAAAAATAGTTATCTTGCATGCAGAAACTTAAATTTCAGATACATAAACTTAACATAAAAAGTTGGTTTTGAAAGAAATGGATTAAAAAAAATCTCTATCGCTACGCAGATGGGATTGTAACCTTTTATATCCCCAGCACAATACATATACACAGCAAAATATTCCTGGTGAATGAATAGAAAAGAGCTTAAATAACCAAACAACTGACTGTTACAATAGTTATTTTTAACAACAGAAACTCAGATTAGATGAAAAATTTAGTTTCTTATCTACCAGAGTTGACCAAATTTAAATAGTTGGCCAAATAAACCATTGTTTTTTCCTATAATTACAGGCATCTGAGATGCTCGGGCTCTTGCACACATACAGACCTTAACAGTCTGCATCAATTCTTTCTGGTCTTACCCCAAACCAAGCTATTAGCAAACACAAAAATATATCTCCCTCAGATTGTTCATAAAGAAAACCTTAAGACTGCATACACAAGGCTTGTTTCTTACAGAAAGCTTATTGACAAAGAGCCTAAACATTATCCCTTGTCAGCAATACTGCAGTCATGCTTTTGAAGGGATAAAGAATAAATAAATCAAATTGCAATTTCAGGGTGATTTTTGTGAGGCAGAAATATGGCCAGAGTGCTATTGTAAACATCGCTATCCTTGAGAAATCGTCACAGAGTTTTGATCAGAAGCCGTCAGGATCTCTGCCGTTGTCCCTCACTGCAAAGTTGGGTAGGAGCAGACACATGAGGGCACCGGACTGCCTTCCCAGCAGCTGGCAAACCAACGACTTGACAAAACACAACAAATAATACTTTAACTGGTTTACTGTTATATTAGGGGGGAGATATCGAGACAAGCATATGCTCTGTTTTGAAGTTGCAGGACTATGAGAAGGAGAAAGGAATGCCAGTAGTGGACATTGCCGCAGGGCAAGCTGATCTCCAGTGTGAGACAAAGAAGTCTGGTGGTTGAAGTATCAGAGATGCTGAACACATCCTGCTTCTTCTGAAATAAATTAGCATAAAGCAATTATCCGCTCTGAAGATTAGGCTATGGAATGTAAGGATTTCTGAATCCCAGGTTCTTATAAACACAGTTACATTCCCAGGACACTTGGAGATTTACAGAGATATGGCTCTAGTGAAGCAACCCTCAGATACAAAATGTGAATAAATTTGGGATTTAAGGAAGAGTAACATCGAAAGCATTTGTATAATCATCCCTAATGCTCCGACTAATGACAGTGTGAGAACTCTGAACAGAGGGAATTTCAAGGCTTATTAATTCCCCTAGTTGGATTCGCTTTCCCAGTGCATCTTTCCTCCCCTATTCCCTATTAACCTCCTGTAATGGAGAGAAGATTTTTATCGCGGACCATTTCCGACAGACGTACTATGCTTAATTTTCCATCGTTAGGTTTAATACAAACCCAATTTCACAATTGGCTTCTCTGAGGAACCTACAAGTAATGCCACATTTTTATCAGCCCCAATTAAAAAACATTACGATATCCCTATTCAAGAGGGAGTCTTAAAACTAATGTGCGGTTCTAGTGCTAATACAGTAAGGGCACATGCAGAGCACAGGCTACTTGTAAAATGTAGCTCAGATCACTCAGCCTCTTTGCAGGCAATTATTAATTTCTCTCTTCATCACATCCTTTAATTCTGGTATACTTGGCTCTCTTCTCAGGGAGAAGTATCACAGGGAGATGTAAAAGCCAGAAAAATGGTGCCCCCTCCTTTCCAGAATAACTTCCCTCAAAGTAGGCTCCCCGTGTTATGAATCTGGAAGCAGAAGAAGCTGCACAGCAGCAAAGAAGGATCTGACTCTGGCCTTTGAGTTTACAGTGACAACTGTGCTTGTGGTCTCTCTGGTCAGACAGGTAAAAAATGGTACAAAACCCACTGACTGCAGTAACAGCCCTTGCAGGATGGTCTGTGCCATCACACTGTTTGCCTGCCTCTTCCACAACCAAGTGCTTCTGCTTAAAAAAAAGTGTCACACAATGTGGGTGATCCTACTCTCAACCGAATGATACACAGAGCTGATACGAGACAGAAGATCACCTCCTCTGGACGTCCGTGACAAACGCATCTTGAACAGCCTCCACGCTACCTGAAAGAAAACCCAAGCCCGACATTTGCACCAGCTCAGGAAGGCTGTCAGTTCCCACCAGCATTTTATCTGGGCCAAGGAAAGGCTTTTATGGAGACAAATGGCTATGTATGAGGCGAGCCTAGCATTCATATGTTCTGCTAATAAAGCCTGATGCAAGAAGCATATTGTTCCTTCTCCGTCTAATCACACCATGAGCCTGAACCTAAGCATGGTTAATGAGGCGCTCACACAAGGCACGACACCTTCTCTCAAGATGTGCTGCTTACAGCAATTTTGTGAACAATTCAAAATGCAGGTAGGAGGGGAGGTAGCAGCAAACTGATCTCTCACTAAGACAATCAACCAAAAGAGTCTTTGGAGGGCTTGCAAACAGGCTTTGCTTTTCCTGCAGGTTGCAGCTATAAACCACATCTCATTCCTTTTGGCACCATTATTACTGGAGAAGACAACAAAAAATAGCAGCCCCTCAGCAAAGTCAGACTTCTGATTTAATTGCTGCACTAAAGGCAAGTCACAGCAATTTTCCATAGTCTCTTCTCTCTGTCCCCTTCTCACGAACATGCCTCCGTTCTCTTGCAAATGAGGGTGAGCTTGTAGGACAAATTGGCCAAGACTTTCACTAAAGTTTTGGCAGTGCCTCTAAAGCATGTGTGCCTTTTATGAGTTTTCTGTGAGAATAGCAAATCAAGAAAATAGATTTTTTTTGAAAGATGCTTGAAATAATTCACTCTAATACTCAGAAACTACTAAACATACAGAATCGTGCATCAGGTCTTTTTGGATTATATTTCATATGCACATCTTATTTCTAGTCATATGTCCTCATTTTGTTGATAGGAACACATACCACCATATTTCATTGCATAACAAAGATGGAATACAGTCCCAAGAAATAATCCAAATTAAAACATTTCAAGGGATGGTGATTTCATTCTGACCCCAAAAGTTGTGGCAACGGTTAATTACCCTTGCTGTCTAAACATTTCTTAATTGCAGTTTGATTTTGCTTAGCTTCGACTTGCAGGCACTGAATCTTATTATACCTTCTGTGAGATTAAAGAGCCCTCTGAGCATTTGAAATCTTGACCCATGCAGGCACTGATCAAATCACTTCTTCAGTTTCTCTTTGATAAAGTAAATCAATCGAGAGCTTCTGAAGTCTCATTAGGGCAGGCTGTTCAGGGCTCTGGTTCCTTCCTAGAACTGTTTCCAATTTTCCACAATTCTTTCTGTGCAGCTGTAAATAAAACAGGTATTCTGCATGTTGCTGGAAACATGCTGTTTGTAAGAGGATCATTTCTAATATTAGCAGCTGCAATAGCAAAATATCTTGTCAGCTTGTTTGTTAACCCTTTTTAGTGCAACACTCTTACTCCCCACACTAAGATGTCTGTTGCCAACACAGATATTTTGATTTCTGGAAGCTGACACTTTCATTATCAGCCTAAGAGTTCACAGAATACCCTGAAATTTTGTATAAGACGTTAAGTCAATGATTCACTGGCTCTCACTTAACTAGCCTGATTGGGAAACTCTTCAGGCATCTCAGCTTATCTGTTTAGGGTGTAACTGCAGATAATCAAATTTAATGATGTTGACTCCACTTTTAATATTCACAAACTCTCCCTGCTTATGAGATGGTGCTTCTTGTGACTCTCTTCTTAGCTGGAGAAATAATCATCAACTTGCCGAAGTAAACTCTGAGGTCTTACTCTGCCAAGAGAAACATAACAGAGTCTGGTGTGCAGAGAAAAGCTGAAGCAGAGGCCAGCCAGGTGGCATCTTTCCCCATTTGATGAGTAACCCTGAGGGTGAGATATTATTGCCTGCCTGCTGCTACACCACCTTGTATTATACACTTTAGTTGCTACCCAGACAAGTAAAATAAATGTCTCCCTCCACAGAAAAACTGATCAACTTCTCCATAGATGTCACATATAAGATGAAGAGCAGCTGAGAAATTAGATTCCCAGCCTGGAAGTGGCTCTGTATGACCAGACCCCTGTGCAATGTCCCAGTAAGGTTGCTGGGAGGGGACCTGCTCATCCAGAGCACCTTTGGAGATTAAAACTTTAGATCCTTTTATAGATGTCATCTTGTTTCGTAAACATAGTTTTGTTAAGTCTGAGAGATAGATATCTGGACCCGAATTACGATGTTGCCTTCTGACCAGAAAACTAACCTATGCCTCAAACAACTAAAAGCAATGCTGCACTGATATGTCATCTTATATATGTAGAGAAGTTTATTTCAAAACTTTTCCTTTAATAGCCACGAACTCCTTCTGTGACTGAAATGACAGGCCCATCATCTCTATGTATATTTTTATTCTCTTAGCCTTGGCAAGTGTGTAACACAATAAGATATCCTTTGCACAAAATAAATTATATTTTGAGTGGTGTTTGTGATGGATTTAATTACACACATATCCAGTCTCTCTACACTAGAGTAAGGGTTGTCAATTATTTGACGACATCTAAGGATGACTACAGCATGGCTAATATCTCTTCCCCTTACACTAGGGATATGCTACAAGCTGGTAAAATTAATTTGCTTTTCTGCGTGCATCAAGGTTTTATTATATGATAAATATCCAGCTATAATATGCTATATACAATACAAACAGTGGTATGGGAAACCAAAGTCAAAACATCATTTGTCTAATGATACCAACTGAGCTATAAAAAGGCACATTCCTTAACAAAAAGCCTTCTGACACCAGGTTTGACAGAGAGTGGAGGATTCATCTTTCATTTCAAAGGCTATGAAGAAGCCACATGTGCATAATAAAAAAAAAAAAAAAAAAGCTGGAGAAAGTAATTTTCTCTAGATTCTACAGAGATTTTTAAGGATCGCTTGGTAAATACCTTACACAACTGTATTATAATCTTATAAAAACTATTGCATACATTTTTTTTCATCAGTTAGCATAGAAGAAAATCCCCTTAAAGATGTAAGGAAGATGCTGCAGTGAGGTGGGCTAAGACTTTGGAGTATTGGCTACATGCGCAACAGTGCAGCTCTTCAAATGCATGGACCTCACCAAGTCAAATCTCTCCTTTGCCTCCTTGGTGAAAACAGGCTGTCAGATCCACCCACCTTACAGGGGGGGGTTTCATTTTTTATTTCAAAAGCTATAAAAAAACCACATGTGCATAAAAAAAAAAAAAAAAAAAGCTGGAGAAAGTAATTTTCTCTAGATTCTACAGAGATTTTTAAGGATCGCTTGGTAAATACCTTACACAACTGTATTATAATCTTATAAAAACTATTGCATACATTTTTTTTCATCAGTTAGCATAGAAGAAAATCCCCTTAAAGATGTAAGGAAGATGCTGCAGTGAGGTGGGCTAAGACTTTGGAGTATTGGCTACATGCGCAACAGTGCAGCTCTTCAAATGCATGGACCTCACCAAGTCAAATCTCTCCTTTGCCTCCTTGGTGAAAACAGGCTGTCAGATCCACCCACCTTACAGAGCAATGCATTAGTTACAGCTGAAAAACTACTGGCAACTTCAAAACAGCACACAAAACTAGAAGCCACTGAAGACTGGAAGAGAGAGTTTTCCAAGCTACCTGATCATCTGCAGGCAGAAAGAAATGTAAGAGAAATTCGGCTCAAGTAACTGCCTACAAGGGCATGCACCTTCATTGCTCATTCTGCCGCAGGCCAACATTAGCACAGCGAACTGATGTGAGAGGCTACAGGTACAACTGAACAGATCAAGCCATTGATTTTTGAGCTTCCATGGCATAAAAATAACTCGTCCTGCAATTTAAAAAGCCAGTAATGGTGACACTTCCTAATGCAGCAATATCAGCTTCTTAAATTCTTTTTAGTTCTTCAAACATTAAGTTGTGGATATACTTGCAGCAGATTGATCAGGCATGAGGAAAAAGCCCATCCAAGCTACAGAAGACTGAAATTCAGGGCAAATTTCTATGTCTAAGCACAAGCCAGTTTTTGTGTGAGACTTCATGAGAGCGAGCTTTCTCTGCTTGTTCCGCCCATCTGCAAGGAACCACAAGGCTCTATAGCTCTCATCCTCTCTAGCGGACAGCGACTCGTGTTAGGATCCTCTTAGTAGTTGAAATGAGAACAAGGGTAAATGTCCTTACACACTGCCAGGAGATGTTGATGGATGCAAGAGAAGGACATGCTGGTTTCTCTGAAGAGACTGCCCTGGTGACATCTGCGGAACATCTTTGAGAGCTACTGGCCATGCTCATTTTCTCCAAAAACAGTCTCTAAGGTTGTACTACCTCCTGTTCAGGCTTTACTGTACTGGTACAACATGGGCCTTACTGAAGTATTAAAGACAGGTAAATCTACCTTCTTTATTTATTAGTATTAAATATTCACTTCTCTAGTGAGAAAGTTTTGTTTGTTTGTTTGGTTTTTTTTTGCAAAAGCAGATGCTTTTGCAAAACATTTAAATCCAGAGTTGCCTACAACTGGGAGAGACAATTACGAGCTAAAAACATGCATTACATAAAACAGTATTAATCAAGCATAGGATAGGGCAGAGGTAAAACCAAAACCCCCTACATCTTACTAGCAACAAATCATGTCACAGCCAAGCCTCAGAGTCATCCAGTATTGCAGATACAGAACATTTATTAGCAGAAGGCATAACAGATGGGAACAAATAGCACTGAACTGCAGGTAGTGCCCAAAGACGGATATTGGTAGTGGGATGACTGATGCCCTTTTTAAGATCTCTCTTTCTTTCCCAGGAATGAATATTAATAAACATCAAAAATTGAACTTATTTTGCTCATACAGCAACATCCAGCGTCGGGTGAATCTGTTCAACAAGCCAGAATGCCAAGGTTTTAATTTGTCTTCAAGTCACAAGATAGAAATTTCTTCAATGCTAAGGGCTGTTCCACAGCACTTGTGGGTGTGTTAAATTCAGGTGGAACGGGGAGGGGTGACCAGTCTGTGTCAATCATGTCTTAGAAGTGCTCCGCACTTAACTTCCCATGTGTAAAACGAGAATATTGATCCTTATTCAGATATAGTGGTTAGTAGAAGTTCAGTTTGAAAGAGTTTTGAATACGAGAGAAAGACAGGTTTAATTCCTATTTCCTCTTTTTCCTCTCTAAAATTTGGGTTTTTTAAACTTTTGGGGGCTTTTTTGCTTTTGCTTTCCCATGAGAAGTACAGATTGAATCTGTCTATTGCTCCTTGAGCTTCAGATTACGAAGTGTGCGGTTCACACTGTAATTCTCACTATCAGGACAGAGGTGGGAAAACAGGTCCCTGAAATGAGGGTCCAGTTTTCACAGATGCCAAGTATCAGATTGAGAGCAGTTTGACAGCTTCCAGCAAACTGCAGGTCTGGGCCCTGTTTCTGAAGTATAGCCAAAAGATCTATCTTTTCTATCTATTGACAACACTAAGTCTCTGGGAAACAAGAACAAACCTTCTGGAAAAAGGACTCCTTCCTTCTCCACCTCATTAAAAGAGGGCTCATTCATTGCCATCAGCATTTTGATAGATAGCAGGATAAATGTGTGTATTGGGGCGGCCCCCCAAAGCCTCTGTGTCCCAGCTGTTAGTCTGTAAGGCAAGGCACTTAAGCGATCGGTTGTAATTTCTTCCTGGTCTAACCGTGGGCCTTCAACATGCTCAGAGTAATGTTTAAAGCAGCCATGGTAGATTACTGTGTCTGGAAGTGAACATTTACTGTAGATAATCCAAAATGACAGGTCTGATAAATACTACCGGTTAGATTCTGATCAACCACACATCATCTTTCTGATTCACGGCGGAGGAACTGCCTTCTTCAAATTCCACACACAGGCAGCATCCTCCAGGGAGAGCCTGAAGTTGTAGGCTGTTATTACTCACTTTCAAGGGTACACCTCCAGTAAGTTTCTGGATAACTTCTTTTATCAGCTAACAGTTTCTGCCAATTTTGCCGTCTCTGTTAACTTACTGTAAAACCGTATTATTTTTAAAAATCCAAAAGCTAAGAGCTGCACATCGGATGCTTTATTTATCATCTGAACAAGAAAAACTGATTTTCAGAGATGCTGAACACCAGCAGCCAGAGAACAGCCTCCGCCTCTCAGAACCTGACTTTTTTAGCCTCTCAAACCCATACCAAACTGCTTGGATATTCAGCATACACAGAATGAAGTGGGGCCACTTGCCCAAAGCCAGCCTCTGATTTCTCCAAATAACCTTTATACTTGCAACTGAGTCCAAAACTGTAAGCTCCCACCTGCTTTGGACATGCAAATACTCACTGATATTCACAAGCCTTGAGGCACACCCAGCTCAGCCTCACTCACAGGACAAGGGGGTAACGGTTTTAAACTAAAAGAGGGTAGATTCAGACTAGATACAAGGATGAAATTTTCTAAGATGAGGATGGTGAAACACTGGAACAGGTTGCCCAGATAGGTGGTAGATGCCCCATCCCTGGAAACATTCAAGGTGAGGTTGGACGGGGCTCTGAGCAACCTGATCTGGTTCAAGATGTCCCTGCCAATTGCAGGGGGGATGAACTAGATGACCTTTAAAGGTCCCTTCCATCCCAAAGCATTCTATGATTCTATGCCAGCTGCACAGGCACAACCACCTATGTGAATCAAAACTAAGCTGAAGGCAAGGCGGCATGTGGGAATTTGGCCCAGAACATCAAATCCCATTCATAAAAAGAAACAACAAATACTTGCTGGAATGCCTAAACCTTAATTTTTGAACTGTTCTTTCCTTTTTAAAAAAAAATAAAATATCAATTAATAACAATAATAAAGCATGAGTAAAAGAAAAGGTTTTCCAACTAACACAACACATGACCACAGGATTATTTATGATTTTGGAGCCCAGCCGCTTAACAGTGCTCTCCGAGTTATTTTCAAGATGCAATGAGTGCATTTGCTCTCCAATGAAGTGCAGTACACCATACCTGTCTTCTTACCTAACAGCGTGGTCGATGGAACAGTGTCTGATGATACTTTGAGATGGAATTCCGTTCACCCACACGACACGGATCAATGGAAATCAACAGAAGATCAACAGGGAAAAAAAGTTACAAAAAATGAAAACAAGGTTAGCTGTATCTCACACTCAAGGTTCAGGCTATAGGTCATATTGGGAAACGTACAAAAGCAAAGAAAATTTAGAAATGAAAGAAAAGTCTGGCACTAGTACCTGAGTAGTAGGAATTCAACAAAGATTTGCTCTGAAGGGTTTTGCTTTGGACAGAAAATGAACAAGGAGAGGGTGATGCTAGGTAGGAAAGACATAAGGAAAAGACTTTAGACATATATTAAGAGAGAGAAAGAGAACAGGGAGAATGTTCCTCAAAGAACACAGTAATATGGGATATAGAAGGCTTATCAAAATGAATTATATTTTTCATCTCAACATGCATATTACATTTATTACATTGTCATCATGATGGATTTTCTTTAATATAAACATTCCAGACCCCAAATATAGTATTATAGTTATTGTAAATCAATGTGTTCCTCCACAGGATACACAAATAGGACTATATTCTAGGTACCCTTTTTTTTTTAACCAAAGGAACAAATTTATGTTTTTGTCTCTAGGAGAAAGACACTTAAAAATGACCCCCAAAATACAGACTACAGAAAATCAAATGCACTATTAAGAGTAAAATAAGCCTGCTTAAACACAACGTATGCTAGTACCACAAAATTACACAGGTAGGGTACCAAATTTTTTTTTGTTAAAACAATACAAGATAACAAGGGACTTGTTATTCCACCCAGGACTGTTCATAGCAAATCCTACAATCCTTTTCCCTGTGAGTTGGGTTCTTTTAGCAGGACAAGCATCCTTGCTTTCTCCCATTAAAGAATTAGCTTTCTCTGGACAAGAATCCACAAATTATTCCCATATTAATCAAATATTTATGGAAAGGAGGCAGGGCTCAACATCTTCACAGCAGATTCTTTTCTTGACAGTAAATTTACAAGGCTGGTTCATATCTACAATAGCATACATGTACATTCTTATGGTAATCCATCATTTCTGAAGACATATTATTTTGTTATCATTCTGCATTCACTCATAGAGTTACAGGCTTTTATTTATCTCCTCCTCAAAATGTTGGGAAACAAGCTAATACAAATCTCAGTACATCAGGAAGATGACAATAGATAACAGGAAAAACTACTCCATAATCCAGCAGAAGTAGATAAAATTCAGTGTACATCAAAGTAATTTCAGAAGCAATTTTTGTATCTCTAGAGCAAACACCACTTAAAAATTTCAAGTTATTCTATGGGGTGAACCAAAGAAGTCACTAGTCTAGGGAGTTTCATAGTGTCTGCAGAATTACCTCCTAAGCAGTATATAATCATCCAGTAAATGAACTTGATCTCGTTCTGCATTCTCCTGCCATATTTTCAGACTTAAACCACTTGAAAACACATTCAAATAATCAAATTTCTCATAGCTTAGTCTGCTGGAGTTCTGCCCCAGCTGCCTTCAAGCCATAAAGTATCTCTCATTTGGGGCCTCTTATATTTTCTCCCCTGTGTTTCTTAGCCTAAATCAGACCCTCCCCATACCGTACTTGGAACATGGCCATTTTTGCAGAAGTATAAAATAAGGTCTAAAAAAAGTAATTGGTTTGCCCAGGGTCACAGAGCAAGTCAACAGTCAGGGCTTGGAGAAGGACTCGATTTTTCTGAAATTTGGGAGTGTAAAAGAACTCATTGGGCCATACTGCCTTTCTAGGAATTGCTAATGATAAATTACTTAGGCAGCTGAAGATATACACATCACTTCAGTGGGTTTGATTAAAAATGTTACCAACTGAGGTGTATGAAATGAACCATACTTCTGCAACAGGGAGGTAAATTCTAGATTATTTCTTTGGAAGAAAAAGGGAAAAAAATACCACCAAAAGACAAGTTTCCCAAAACTTTGGAGAGCTCATTCTCAGAATCAGTCAGGTAGTGGTTTGTGTAACGAGAGATGCATACATGGTGCTGCTACTGAACCAGAGGTTCTTACAAGCACTAGTGTGCACAATTCACAGGAAACACTTCCAGAGAGGATTTCATGTCAGGGTAGGGATTAAGACTTCATTTAAAATTCTCTTTATACTCCCTGGCACGTGAGGCCACACAGATCCCTCTAGGCCTGCAGAATGGTGGAGGCTCCTTCCTATTCTGAAAACCATTCTCCCTTGCTTTTCGTAAGATTTTCTGAATTAGCAAACCCCACAAAAATCCCAAACCAGTATGAAAACCAGCAAAAGTTATTTCAGTATTTTTTTTTAATGCCTTTGATGAAATTTGGCTTTACTACTATGAATTTTAGAATTTTTCACTAAACAAAACATCTCATGGTCATAATCCTACAGGTCCTTGGACTGCATTTAGCAGGCATCCTAACTGGGAGTGAAAACTATCTATGGGGTAGGAATAAGAACTAGATCTTGATGTAATTGTCTGTTGTGACTTACAGCAAGTCTAAAGACCTTCACGTTTCATTCATCACAAAAACATGCAGGATCTAGAGAGGTGTGAATTTAGATGGTTCTTGGTTAAAAATGATCCTGAACACCCTGAGTGCCACGTACCTACAGCTTTCTTTTATCTCCTGTTCTTGCTAGTAAAAGCACGGTAACTTGGTAACTGTACAATAGCGCTCACTAATGAAAATCTCAGTTCCCTACAGCTTCCCAAATGCTGTCTTCAAACTGTGCTTCTACCTGTAGCATTAAAGCAACCTACCTAAGCTTTATCAGCCTCACTCCTGAAGGTTGTCTGGAAAGCAGTCTCCTCCCAAACAGAGATGTCACAAAAGTTAAGCACACCCTAACAAATCAGTCTCTAGCAAAACTGGCTGCATTTTAAGAGATTAAATCCTCAGAATCAAACAGTTCCTGCCAGAAACCCCCCAAGGATGTCAAGATGACTATGCTGGTGACACAGCATTCTCCTGGACAGGCCCTATCCATGGCATTTCAGCACTGCAAAGCCAGAAGAGCAGCTCCTTTGTGCAGGACATATCATTGGTGCATCATTGCTAAGATGACATACTACTGCTTCTCCCTTCACACGGATGGGCTGCCAAACTGCACGCAATTTATGTGTAATAACAACCCCTTGCACACCCTTCTGGTCAGTGCACAGATGCTGGTGGATGATTTTAGGCCCACCTTGTCTTCGATTTGTCATCTTGTTTCATAACAACCCTGCACCAAGTCAGTGCCTACACGTGACTGTGCTACGCCACTCAGAGGAAAACACCACTGCCTTCCAAACTGAGGAGCAGGCTCAAACACTGCAAGTACCATCATCTGCCTTTAAGGGATTCAGGAAGTATTTTTATTTTTCAAAAAGCAAGATATTTGAGAAACTGAACAACTATGATAAACCTGCTTCACCTCCACATAATCCCTGAGTAAAACCAGACAAACTGGAACAGCCACGGACTAATCTATCTTTCAGCAAACACCTATTCTGATTCCATATGGTGTCATAGACAGAGGCTGAGTCCATAAAATCTCTTCAGTTTAAACTCCCGTATGTACCAGTAAGAATTTTGCTTGAATAATGACTAACAGTGTAGAAATAGAGGAGGGATGAGGGGCTTTACTTTGGGCCAGGAAAGATCTCCCTGTTCCAGCACAGAGGCTACAGATCTTGCAGAATGTACTTACATTTGATAAGGAACACGTCTGCCAAACTATAAAGTTCAAAAGTACAAATGTCCAACAGGACTGTGTGCTCCTGAGCACTGCGCCAGCCTCGACAAAGGACTCTGCTGCATGCAAACAGCATGACTTTATGGCTCACGGCATCTGCCCGAGTTTATGTTGAGAGTATAAGCATTTCCCCCTAAAACACTGAGATAGAGTAGGTGAAGAGATCTGCATTTTTACCAACGGCAGAGACTGGAGGATGGTAACTCTTAGTGGTGAAAGAATCACCATTACTGCACTGCGTACTTTTTTCAGTTGCCTGTAAAAGCACTCAGGTCTATGTCCCCTAAGAAAAGGAGGGGCTGAAAGGCAGCTGCTCAGTTTTGGTGTCCTTCACGATGCAGAGCACCCGGCAGCACCCGCGATGAGGAGGGGCTTCTTCCTTTACAGCTGCTGGACCTGTCAGGTGGGAGCCCCTGCGGGGTGACGGTGCTGGAGGCAGCAGCGAGACAGGCAGCAAACTGGGAGGCCACAGCAGGAGGGCAGACAGGGGCCACCTAAGAACAGCAAAAGTCCTCCTGCAGCAGGAGCAGATAAGTGGCCAAGCTGGAGAGACTATGGGAAGAAAAAAGCTTCTATAGGGACTCAAGAAAAGTCATTAAAGTGATTGCGACAGGAAGGAAAAACTGGAAGGAAGGACACATGACCTGCAAGGACACTGTCATCTGGAGATAAACTTGTTTGCAAGTCATTCAATAATCGTGAGGTTTCCTACTTAACAAGTTGTCTTGTTCTATTTTATTGCTTTTGTGAGCTAGCAAGGTGATCTTGGGATTGAAAAGCTTAGCTTCTCTTTGTGGACTTTCTTCAAAAAGCAAAGGAGTATTTCCATGTCTCTACTGCAGCCAACTCGGGCTCCCGTAACTGAGGGTCAGGATGGAGAGGATGACTACCTATCATGAGATACTTGCGAATGCTATTTTCTGTTGGCAGGCAGAAGGACAATTTAAGAAGGAATTTGACTGCTGCTTAAGACAGACAGCTGATTTCAAAAGCTAGGATATGGATGAAATGCATAACCCCCTGTAAAACTCTACTAGTTAGCAGGAAGGTTAAGAAGTAATCTTATTATGTTATTCAAAAGTTAGAGTAGGCCTGTATAGAAATGCTCAAGTATTAAACACTATTAAGGCAAATTCTTACAAAGTCAGTCTTTTACTCATATAATTCCTGTGTCAGGATGTGCACACTTCTACACAGAAGAGAACTTACCTCCAACATCTCAGCATCCTGGACTTGGCAGTAAAAAATTTGGAGAAATCATGAAGGCTTACTGGTAATTGTTTCTCATGGATATAAAAAGGAAAAAAAAGAAAAGAATCGGCCCATGACTTGACTCAGGCTGTGTTACAGAGGGAGGCAGTGAAAAAATCTGAAGTGATGTCAGACAAGCAAAGGACTAACTGATTAAAAAAAAAAAAGAAAACCTGGAGGGATGCTTTTTTACAAAATTGGATACAACATGTTTTCTATAGTTGCCATTTCAAGTAAATGACTCAGCTGTTTTAATTAGTCTCTCAAAATACCAAGGGAAAAAAAATGAGGTCACATTACAGGCTCATCTCTTCTCTTATTTTCTGGTTGGGAAAAAAACCCAGAACTTTTAAAAATCCAAATTCTGAAGAAAGTGTTAAAAATTTCATTTTCCCCATACATTTTAAACAAGCTACCTTTGCTGTTTCTAGGATGTCTGTTAGAATGCTGTCCTCTGCTATCCTGTCTTTCAAAGATATGAACCACTGACAACTCTTGCTGTCTCTTTAGGAGACAGAGCTACTCAGCACCTGAGAAAATTAGATTTTGACTCAAGTCAATTTAATATCAGACAGAAGTGTTTGCTGCTAGCCTTGACGGTCCCAAACACCTATTTATCCATCTCACAGGTATGTTACACAGAGTGGCAGTAGCTACACATGCAGATGGAATTTGACATGACCTACAGATAGAGGGAAAAGAAGAATTCACTCAGCCTGTCCCACTCAATCTGTGATTACAAAGGTTTCAATGATAAAACACATTTTGTACCATAAGCACTTCCATGTTAGTAATTAGGGGAAAAAAAACCACTTCACTAAAGATGTCTAAGAAAGACAAAGGAGTTTTAGTACGTACTTGTGTTTCAGAGCTGTTCCCTGTTCAAACTAGTAGGCTAAGGGTCAAAAGAAGGAGTGACATTCCCATAGTGTCGAAATTAAAATTTATTTAATATGAAAAAGTTTACAAATCCACCATGCACTCAAGCTGGATCTAGTGAGGCTAAAGTATGACTTTGTGTTGCTTTACCCACAAAACTCTTCCAGCTACAGAGGTCTGAGTGGTTTACAAGTATTAACCAAGATTAGTTTTACTGGACCCATGTGAAGAATAAATGGAGGACACAGACAAAAGAAGAAATGTGGTCTTTCCATTCCAGTTATCTAACCAGGAGACCATGCTTTCTTTCATAGCAATTTCACAGAGAAAATGTTATTTCATCCTACAAGTCAGCTAAGTGATTTGATTAGATTCTTCTACTCACAAAGGAAAAAATATTTCTGAAGAACAAATAAAATGTGCCTTTTTGACTGTCTGATGTAGTTATTAGAATAGACTTTATAAATTATTCTCAGTAGATTTAGTCAGAAGGAATGCTCTCCACCTATCTGACAGTTAAAATAGGGGCAGTGTCAGAGACATTTCAGGCAACTGATTTCTATCGAGCTTTTGCAATGATCTCTACCACCGTCATTCCTAGCTCCTCAATACTGTGCCCATAGGAATACGTCCTTTTAAGAACCTAAAGCTCTCCAAGGGGGATATATCCATTGCAAGCAAGTTAAACTTACTGAATCCATTAACATCTTGGCAGCTGGAAGAAAAAGCTTCTTCATTGTGAACGGCACTGAGTTTGGTAGAGGTCTTGTCGGAAGTAGCCACGGGACCCATCTCCCTCTGCGTGCTGGTCTGAGTCTCCTTCTGCTTCTTGGCTAGCTTCCTTTAGGGTATTTTGAAGAGGGGAGAAATCAAGGTCAGTTTTCCCTCATTAAAAACAAAACAATGAGAAGATATTTTGAAAACCATGATTATCCCACTTGGTCAGACATGCAGGGCATGTGGCAAACCACATGAGAGGAAACCCCACAACTTTTTCATATGTTGTGGAGCACAATAAATATAGTGATACCAGTCTTTGAGCTTAGCCATCCCTCCCAGTAACTCATCTTGCACAAACCTGCATCACCCCAGCAGTAGGAGTGCTCCGTCATCCTTGAAGAGGGTGGCATAGGCAAAGCCCCTGGAGCAGGTATCGGCACCTCCAGGAAGAGCAGAGGGCACGGGATGAGGGCAGCGATCAGAGCCGCTCGCGAGGAGGTAAATGGGACATCTGCATCCATCCCACGGGGGCACCTGCACCGGGGGTTTTCTTTGAGTGCTCCGGTGGAGAGTGTGACCTGACTCTGGGCAACTGGAGAGCTGGAACAGGAGCTCTGCCCTGTCCCCAAGCACAGCAATGAGGACGGCAGCATCTACTACATTCTGACACACACCCAAACTGCACTGAGGATCAACAGTCTGTCAAGGGTGGGGCAAATGAAAGGCTGAAATTATTTTGGAAATGTCCAATTATGCCTCTGTTCTGGGAAAATGGGTCTTTTCTTATTTTGAGGTGATGTCAAAAACATTGGCAAAAGCAGAAACACTGCCTGCTCTGAAAACACTAACAAAGCCAAGAACATAAGAGGCTCCTCTTTTGCAAACACAGCTAATAACAAGAACATGGAGAGAAGTAGGAAAAGTGAGCTGCTAAGCTTCCATTGACATTTGACTGCCCTGTGCTTCATTCATATCAGAGAGCAAAACTGTTTAAAAATGCATGTGTGACATTCTACAACCCACACCTTGAAAAAATATCACACAAATCCCTAGCACCAGCAAAGAACTTTGCTTACATGACTTCCGTAGATAAGAAAATAAAACAAAATAAAAGGGAGAAAAGCAGATTACTGTAAGAAGGAGCTTTAGTTTTCTTTTTTCCTCCAACTCAAAGAAAAAAAAATCCTAACAACTAAATCATTTTGCAAAGAGGTTTTTCTTCACTAAAATGACATGCTTATGGTAAGTACTACCCATCTTTTAAACTTCATTAGATTCTTAAAAGGATATTCCTTGCAATGTATTCCAACAGGCTTTATTTATTCACAGCGCATGTCGGAGTGGCATTTACAAGCAAGCGCAAGCACGCAGCTGAGCCCCAGCCCTTCACAAGATGGACAGCTACGCAAGTTACACTCATGTGCAAGGAAGGGTCAAAGCGAACTTAAACCTTTGCCTATGTCTGTGGGAAATGACTATTTTAAGGCAAGCTGATAAGCCAAACCAAGAGAGCACAGATTTATGGAGAAACGTCCAATGTTTGCTGCAAACTTTTGAACAAATCCATCTGTTTCATCTGCTCAACCAGTTGAGGTTCAGCCTTTTACAGTTAGTGGTTTCAATTCAAACCCATAGCTGTTCAAATTGGGTACATTGTAGAGAGTGCGTATTTAGATCTCACAAAATCTCCACGGTGTATCCACTTCTGCAGATGAAAATGCAAACAGGGGAACTGTCCTTGAGCGATGAAGCAAAAAGCTGGTGTTTAATGATGCTAAAAGCTTTGCTTCCAGTGTTCAGCAGTGTTAGCACAGTCAGATTTATTAACTATGAGCTACAGCCATGGGAGCCCCCTTTTTTGTGCTGTGGTACCTGAGGTAACAACAACAGCCTTGAAGTGTATTAACCCTGCTATGCGGTTATTTTAATCCTTTAGATTTGCTAATCATACTTGCCTATGTGAATTCTCTGGCAACAGGAATTAAAATTTCTCAGTGGGAAACACTAATCCAAAATGCAGAAGTCCTTAATAACAAGCACTCTGGACTGCTGGGGTGAGCCACTATGGACGACCACTACTGATGTTTAAAAATGGTGATTCAAAAAGGGTGACTGCCTTATTAAATCCAGATTAAATTACTTGTGGCAATAATTATCTGTAAGTCCCATTGTCTGGTATCTTTTCAGAAATGCCAACAAGCTACAAAGAGCTGTAACTGGCAAACTCGTTTTCTGTTTCAGTGAACGAGCAATAACATTTCTGCATGTGGTAGGCATGAAAAAAAAAAACCCAAACCCAAGCCCATTAATCCCCAAAGGCCTGCTTACAGAAGCCCTATGCAAAGCAGTTCTACCTGGTCCTGTAGAAGACAGAGAGGCCCCTAAAACATTGGCTTGAATGCCTAAAAAGAAAAGGTGACATGAGTTTAAAGTTCTCAATCTAACTCGCACACACAAACCAGGCTGCTCGCAGGTGGACCAGCTAATGCTTACACAAGTTCAGAGGGAAGCCACACAGAAAATCGTCCTGCATCTGAAAACGCGACAATTTTCTTTCAACAGCGTGTTATCGGTTTGCACCTTTCTCCCTCTCTATTCCAAGAATGTAAAAATTCTTCATCTAAATTTAGAGGGAAAAGGAAGACAGATCTCTTTTGAGGATTTCAGAGCTAAGCTTGCCAGACACATCAAGGGGCTCTCGGTTTCTAAATGTGCCTTTTCTGCCGTCGTTATATGTCTGGATAGAGTGGCAGCACAGGACTAAGCCTATTTGGTCCTTACCATCATTATAATTCATAGAAAGGATTATAAAATCAAATGACTAGCACTTTCTAGAATGTTAGGGATGTGACTTAAACCCACAGCTAGGTACAGGTTTATTTCCCAGCATGTCAAAATGCCTTTGGAATTGGAAAAGCATTTATCTGGAAATGCTGTTTCCAAAAATAGGGTACCTCAAGAGATCTCTGTGAATCACTGCATCAGCGACATGGCTCCTGCTCGCCTTACTGCCCAGCCTCCCCTGAACACCACGACTCTGACACGCAGGTGAAAGCACTATCAGTGCATTGGTGTCAATCACAGGCACCCAGCACGGTCTGTCACCAGGCACCAAGAAGATGCTTTCCGTCTCATGCATTATGCAGTTGAAAAGGGGAAGAAATAAAGGAGCGGGCAGATATTCGGTAGAGTCGTCTGATACAATCAACACTGGGTAAAGAGGCTGGAATGTCAAAATGTGAATAAGGTGATATTAATGGCCATTTTATGTTTAAGTGTAAGGAAAATGTGCCAAGAAGGAAACGGGAGTCCACGGATGGGGGTTACTGGGTTGTTCTTTTCAGTTCAAGAGGGTTTGTAAATGAAGAGATGATGTTTACAGGCACTACACACACACGGGAGGGATGAGGCAGAAAGATGCTCAAAGCAGAATAAGAAAATGAAACCAGCTGTATAATCATGCAGTTGAACCTAACCCAGCTAAAGCAAGGATAAGAACTATTGGCAGTGAACCTAAACTAAATGCAAATTTTAAAAAGAAAAAAAAAAGAGATGGAGATTTGATTCAGCTATTTTTGAAACTTCTATTCCTTTCAGAGAATAGATATAAAATGCTGAAGCGTTATATTAAAATTGTGGGAGTTCCAGTTTAACAGTCAAGGAATGCAAACTTGGTATCAAGTACAAAGCATTTGCTGCCATGGGCAATCAGAAAGCTCAAACAATATTTTCAGTTAGATGTATCTGCAGCATCAGACTCCTGTTTTGCAGAGGTTTGGATAAACTTCAGGGATTATATCTTAAAAGCAGCTTCAAACTCTTCTCTAACTTTTTATATCAATTTTACATGCATGAATGTGAAATCTGTAACTGCCACTCCTAAAGAGCTCTTGTACATCTATGTTGACAGATTTAATTTTAGATGTTTCACAAGGATGGATTATATACACCATAATGTAGATTTGCATGCACAGGTGATTTAGACATTAGGTATAGATCACATAAGTTAAACATGAAATTTCCTCCTACAGACAAGAATTGCATATTGCCCTCATTTTCAATAAGCAATTTAAGAAAGATACAAAATACAATTCCTTTTAGATATTTGTGCACAGCAGCCTGCTAGGAGTACACATATTATTTATGATGAAATCTGCACAAATTCAAGGCAGGCAGCTATCAGCCATGCAAATACCCAACTGGGAGCACTGCTTAAATAGCAGTTCTGTTGAAAAGGATCTCTGTCCCCTAAACCTGTAGTAGATCTCAAACTTAATTTGAAAGAACAGTTTCACACTGGTGTAAAGACAAGGGAGGGATTATACATGGCACTATGGTCTGCAAGCCACAGGTAATCCTTTTGCTCTGACCGAGGATCAGTAAGGCCTCTGCTGCAATACTGCACTTCAAATAAGACGTGTGCCAAAGGGATACATACAAAAGCAGAATGAGAAAGGTAAATCTAGAAAACATGACCTACAAGCAAAGGCCAAAGGAAATATGGATCTTTAATCTAGAGAAAACAAAATCAAATACGGCTGGTAGGTCTTCAAACACATGAAAAGACACCACAGGGAAGCTGTTCTCCCTGTCAACAGGGGCTGGGAAAAAAGTAATGGGGCTAAGCTATAGGAAGGGCAGTTGATTTTAAACTTTGGGAAAACTATGTGCAGTGGACTACCCATCTCTCAAACCGACTGGGCAGGTAGGCTGTGAATTCTCAGTCGCTAGGGGTCTTTAAACAGAGAGCAAGAGGAATGAGAGTTAAAAGCAGTACAGCCCTCCGGCAGCCTGACAGGTGGAGTGTCTCCTCCCTGTGCTCCCACGGTCCTGCCCAGACCATCGGTTCATCGCGGGCCCCCTTTCTGCAGGCTGTAACCTCAGTAGAGCTGAGAAATATTCTCTAGCCTAAGCACATAGGCAGCTTACTGCTTCTTATAGCTGTTACAAGGGCAAATCCTCCACTTACAGGCAAGTGTAGAGACAGCTTTACTTGCACTTTTTTAGCGCCTGCCATGGGGAAGCCAAACTTGGTGCAGGCTATTGCAGGAGCAGAGGGAATTCAGCAGAGTAAAGGTGAAGTGAAGAGCGAGGACCAGCCACACCACTTTTACTTACAAA